ATACAAGAAAATCAGAAATTAAAATCAAATTATTAATCAAAAAGATTTACACCTAAGTAATGAGAAAACGTCGAGCGGAACGAAAATTTATCGATTCGCAATTTCATGAGTATTTTAAGTTTCACTACCGACTGTATTTGATTTCTATGAAATTTTTTGAACTGATGATGAGGTGAAACAGATGAAAAAGATTCATGAGAAGGTTATCATTGAAGATGTGGTAAATTCAATTAACGTTTTGTTTGCTTTTCAATTCTTGCCCTTCAAGTGTAGCATTTATGGGTTGAGAGAAACCTGAATACCGCCACGTTCAAGGTCCCAACTAGCAGATAATGCTTTTGTAGTATATATAGATTGCATGTGGATAATGAAGACCATGTGACCATTAATAGAATTAAACTTTGTACAGATATGTTTAATGCCGAGAAATTAGATAATTGTGAGATATTTGTTATATGATAGTTAAAATTGTATGGGGTGATGTGGGTACTGTAATAAAGACAGTTATGATAACAAACCTATGAATATATCCTTCGATGCGGTTTAACTTCCCTACGCCATGATTGCAACTTCCATCGACTAGCCATTGTACAGTTATTAAATAATGGAAAGGCATTTCTCCATTTTCATATACGTGGTTAATCCATTTTTGAAAAGCAAAAGCATGAAGTAGAGTTACCAGAAGAATTGTTCGTAAAAAGCGTCAAAAATGTTAACAATGTTTTCGCAACTGCCAATTATAATAAAAAATTCCGATCAACTCTTGACTTATAATGTAATTCATTTAAAAAAATTGCTTGTGGTAAAAATAAATCGAACTGACAGACTTTACAGTTAATTAGTCCTTCCATTTGAGAGTGCCTAAATATATACTCAAATATAAACAATTATTAAACATTCGAGTATCAGTCGAAACTGTTCAAAATTTAAAATGATTTCTACCAGACCAAGTCAATTCCAATAACTTTGCCACACCACTTATTTGCCAGCCTTCACAAGAAACGATATATTTTTTCGAACAAAATTAAGCCACAGCTTTCTGGTGCGATCAAAAAAACTTCTTAGTTATTATGTGGTCATCGAACACCACAAACTGTAATTATGACCAGTATTATATGGTTTTTAGTCACGAGCAGCGAACCCAAATAAAAAATTATTGGTGGAGCACCGATGATTATTGTTGGAGTATCGATGGCCTATCCGGCCTATGTTCCACCTATAACCTGCCGATCGCCACCTTTCCCGAAAATCTCTTTTCGGAAACTACATAAATGACAATGTTGTCAGTTGGTAGTTCAACGTTTTCATTTTATCCAATCTACATTGGTCAAATTTCAGTGGCATAGTTCTTCGAGGACTTGTTAAAATTAATTATTCGATTTCTTTATCATTGTATATACGCCGTTGTTAATCTCTTTTTAGGAGGCTTAGTCGACGCTCATGAGCTCGATCGTAGGCATTACTTTCTTAACCTTGCCTTGGTGCAGACCTCGTGTTACACCGCATTAACTTGTTGCCGTCTTCGGTGAAACCTTGCTTATCTTTAACTTAATTTGAGTTTGTACGAATGTGCTTTCATTTTGTTTAGTTCAGCTGATCTGCATGTTCGTACTTCTGTGTTCGTTCGATTAAATTCTTATTTTACTGGATGTACTCCAGTAGTTGAACCCGGTAGGGTTTGTGTAGCTCCGTGGAGCTTCATTGCTAATCATTGACTACCAGCCGTAGAGCTCTGCTTTAACTATGCATGCTTGCATGCCGTGCTTTAAACTATTAGTTACGAACGAACACGCCTCTAACTATTTTCACTATTTCCTTCTTGTAGTTCTCCATGAGAACTCTTAGCTAAGATTCCTCAACGGTAGCAAATAGGTTAGTTATATTCATTTTGCCCGTGTCACCATTGATTGAATTTGAATCTTATTTGATTATTGTGCTGAAATTCATTGTATTATACTTTAGTTCAGCCATTTATAGGTATGATCTATTCTCATCCGTCTGTTCAGATAAGAATCCTCCCCACAACCTCCTCGTTCCGATTGGTCTTCAGCCCTGCTGCTTATTCCTTTTGTCCGGCTGCTGACCTACGACTCGATTCATTAATACGTTTTGTTGCCTTCGGCAATTTGGTGAGAACTAGAGAGGGAGAGAGAGAGACGTTCATAAAGTGAAACAGTGACTTATTCCGTGCTTTAAATATTGTGATCCTTAGATTCCTAATTTTCGATCCATTTCTGATATCTGTGAATTTTTCTGCAGTGCGACCAACACGTCTCTCATCGTTTCCCACTCCGTGAACTTCTTCTTCTTCGTTTTGCGAACCTCTTCAATAAATCTTCAACGCTTTCGAAATTGTTTGATTCCCATTTGTAACTAAATTCCAATAGACTGCGCAGTTTAGGCTAGCGGTTATCGATGGTTTACAAGAGGTTTGCCGGTAATGCGCCACCGATAATTCAGACCCCATTACTCTTAATTGATGAAAATTAGATGCACATGTCAATCTCTCAAATTTTTGGGGGGTTTTTCCGTCTATTTTTTGCAGATGTGGCCACCCACCGTTACGCCACTTATAATTTACCGACCATATATAATTTTTGAAAACGTGTTGTTATAATCGTTGCTGCGCCACCCTTAATTTTCATCCGGGTGGGATTAAACTGCACATAACATGGTTATAGGTCCCGAATAACAGCCAGGAAATGAAAAGCCCATACCAATCTACACAAATATACAGATTCTATCCTCTCTCCCAACATAAAACGCACCCGATAACTCAACTTCGTTTGATCGATAACCCCGAACGGTAGCTGTAATCGCGTCAGAATGTAGCTTGTCCCGAAACAACCCACATCATGCAATACGCTACGACGGGGTCCGTTTCTCCTCGTCAGCAGGTGTCCGAAACCACGACCAGGCGTAAGGACCCGGTTAAGCTGACGGACTGACACTACTCACTCACCGTGAGCGTGAGTGACACATTTGAAATGAGACCGATGACCTACTGACACTCATGAATACTTTTAAAATGTACCCCCTTAGTCTCAAGCGACTCACCATCCTTATTATCAGCATCTCCAACCCAACCAAACCCCACACGCCTACAACCAATCCAATCCCTTTTTTCATCTCCCATTTTGCTTCACATTTCAAATTCTTCTCTCTGGGCAATCTGAGCCACCTCTTGTTTTCTTCCACTCTTCCTAATGGTACGGCACCACCACATCACCAAAATCAGCATGTAGTAAGTTAGGAAGTTTTAAATCCACGCCAATAACTCTCCTCCGACCCCCCAGTGGTCCTAATTTTCTTAAGAACACTCCATGATAAAATTTGTCAAAATATTTCGCCAAGTCTAAATGCGAGTACACCCAATCATAGCCGGTCCCCACTCTGAGTGTTTGAGTTAGGCCAGAGTTTGGTGGAGATGCTCTGGTAACTGGGACAAGCAAGAGCGATTTCGTCTGAAACCGTGTTGCTTTACGTTGAGAAGGTCAGCTATCTTCATATATTGAATTACCTCATGTCAATGATCTAAAAAACCTTTAGAGCATGCGATATTAATGCCACCAGATGAAAATTTTGGGGTTTGCCTCTCGCATTCCCTTTTTAGATCGAAGTTAGACCCATCTCGAGGTAACTAGGAACGTTTCTTTCTTTCAATAATGCCCTCCAGAGCAGTCACTAGGTCATTCATCCGTTTTATGAGGATCTGAAGTTGTCGCCCTTGCACCAGTGGGACATTCAGTCCGACGACACATACTTTCAGCAACATCACAGGACTTCATTCAGCCCATGAGCCAAAAATGTCGATAATTCTTGGAAATTCTCAAGGGACGGTGTTTCATACTCAATTTTCATTATCCCCACCCCTCTGGTAGTTCCCGAGAACTCCAATTTCGTTCTTCAGTCTTGAGCAAAGAAATTTGGGTTGCTAGATACTTCTTTGAACGGCGCTCCTGGCAGTTTGCACATGCCCTGGTCCTCTCTAATGACGGCATTTTTATAGGGGAAATCAATGTCGTCATTAGAATTTTGTGGAAGAAATCAGTGAAAAAACAGTCATCTTTTTGGCTATTCTGTAAATTTAAGTAAATTATAACAGAAAATATACATGTCAATCATCAGGAAATATTAAATTGATTCTTGAAGCATAATTGAGAATGAAATTGAATAATGATTAAATTAAGAAAACTTATTAGCAATAGGTATATAACAATTTATGAGAAAAGAGACAATTGGTATGTACAAGTTTACCAGTCAACTTGTGCATCTATCTGTCAACTGCAGTGTTTTTCCAGAAAGTGACAAATAAATATATTATTAGCCCAACCACTTTACAGTCTAATGCATGACACTCAATGACTATAATAGCAATTTCAGCAAGATGCTTATTCGATCTATTTTCTCATTCCTCAGACCATTGAGAATCATGCAGATGGTGGGGTTGTTTATTGAGTCGATCTGAACAGTTCCTGATAACTCCTCTTATCTCCTAATCTCTTATCGTTAAGGTCACCATAGATAAGTTAGCCTCCCTGAGTTAGACTTCAGTCGAAACTAGCCTCTGGTGGTCAAACCTTGTCTCGTTATGGTATGGTATCTTATAAGTAGTTTATATTGTAGTAGTTTAGTTTCGAGAAGAATCACCGATGTTTTAGAAAAAATAAAGTTTTGAAGTGGTCCTTATGTGCCACTGCCACACGCGTATCTGCTGTTCTCGTGCCCCATTTCTAAACATTCCCTTCGGGAACCGAAGGGAACATGCTAGAAGTTGGAGAATTGTACTATAAGCCAACTATTATCATTACATGAAATTGGTCTTCTAAACTCTCCTAAATTTACACGCAACTTCTAATGAGGATCTGAAATTTTGAATTTCATTCCAGTCTAATGAATTTTCATTTTCAGTCTAATCTCAATAGTGATGTTTAAGACATATTTTGAAAGTTGATACGGTAATTGTTGAAGATGATTTTTTATTTGAACGATTTGTATCATCCCCAGGAAATTCACTACAACCCATAAATTATAACAAGGCCGACAAAAAAACGCGGCTCAGTTTGATCCAGGGATTTTGCTTCAATTCGTCCTTCATACCACCAGAAATTTTACTCGGATCACTGGGGTGCGGTGAGTAAAGGAGATAAGTCACTTTATCTGTACTTCATGGAATTATAGCAATATTGCTATAATAATAGAACTTACTGGCTCAAATAGATCGATGGATTTGAAATGCATTGAATCAATTACTTTTGCAATTTAACCTTGAATGGTAGCTATTTAATTTATGGAAAAGATGCACGTTTTTAAGACAACCTTGATAAAGGCAACGAGAAATTTAGATAACAATTTCTAAAAATTAGACCAATAAAAAATGGTAGAAAAGAAATAGAAAAAAGATATGATTTTCACGAATTTTCCTACAAAAAAGCCTATTGTATTTCCGCATTGCTTTATTTTTTTCAGATAGTCAAGCATGACGTATTCTTCGAAAATGTTCTTAAATATATGTCAATTTATAAAATGAGCAAATTAAAGTTAAAATAAAATTCGCTCAAAATAATGCGACAGTAGAGAAAAAGTCATAGCAAGGATAAATATATATTTTCTTGCCAGACAATCATTGAAAATAATTCGAGTTTTATAATATAGATAAGGATTGGAACTACACCAACTTCACAAACGAGTGGTTCTATGGCTTTTGGATGCTGATTAAGAAAAAAGTATAATTTCAGTAATGGAAGATTATCTCCTGTCCGACTGGTAAAATGAATCTCTTTGAAAAATGAATATATATTTGAAATTTCAATAAATGATATTGTTACAAATTGAAAATATAATTTAAAATGTGCACATGTCTTAAGACAAAAAACAATGGGAGAAGGAAGATCAATATTATCAAAAAATAGATGGATAATATACTCGTATATATACAATGTAAAGAGATACAACAAATCATGATTTTCTTTAATTTTCCCCTAGAAATATAGTTATAAAATTCATTTCATCTAAGGTATGACAAACTGTTCGGAAATGTTCACTAATATAGGGTAATATATGAATAGGCCTGCCACTTTAAGTAGTAGGAACAAAGTTTATTTTCTTCAGTAATTTGAGATGACATGTGAGTAGAAAGCAGTTGAGAAAATTCACAGAAATTTAAAAATCCGAATTAACTAAAGAGATAACTAAATAACTCTGGAATTGTAATTAATTCTAGGAATGTCAATATATTGCAGATTTGTTGGCCAATGGTAATGATTTACACAATAATATTTCGGATCACTCAACCGAAATAAGTAATCTCGTGATACAAGTAGAATAAAATTAAGCTCAAATTAAGTTGAATAAAACTCAAATTAATAACTACAGCATATTGGAGACTGCTTGTACAAGTATATATTATCTTCAAGAAATGCTCCCCCATTAAAAATATTATTTTCATTTATAACATTGATGAAGACCTGAACAATTGCCTCCATAATGCATCAAGAGTAATGCGTATATCGGAATATTTCGATAATTCTGTTCATGGTTTCGAAAAAAAAATAATTTTTACTATATTACAGCAGAAGAGAATCAGAAGCTGCAAATATTTTCTAAACTTGGAAAAAAAAGTATTTAGTTCCTTTTTTTTGTAAATTTTTTTATTTTTTTGTGTGTAATATTTTTGTGTAATATGTTTTTATCAACTGTAACTAATAATTCAGCATTGATTAGCAAAGATGATCATTCATTCACTTAAAAGAATTTGTAAAACTTTCATCAACTCTAAGCACTAAAGAAGTATCCTCAGCTCAGCTCAACTGTGCCGGCACATATTGTAATCCCAGGTGAACTCAGATTAATGTGTTTATAGAAAACCGATCAAAACCGAAAACCTTTAGCCAAGAAAACCGATCAAGGAATTTCATGGCTAAACAAATAAAACAGATTTAAGTAAATATGCTGATTATCACACGGTTGGACTATATAAGGTTGACCTACGAGAAGTTCCGTCTTTCAGTTCAGCTTTATTGTCACGTCACTGAGATCGAGAAACGTAAACAAACCCGTCATTCTCATGACGGAATGGTTGACTGGTTCGATTGCATTTCGGTGATTGGTTAATGCCAGTGACGTCACTGAAATCAGTGACGTCACAGGAGAACAACGTTCTACATCCGCAAAAATGAGCTTCTCATGTGTCAACCTTATACTAGTTCAACCATGGATTGTAGCTCAACCTGGGGACTAACAATGAGTTACTCTGCTTATTGATTAATTAAATTGGTCAAACATTGTCTAGTTAAAAGGAAACTGTGTTGTGTGCACTTAGATAATTTTATCAAATTTGAAAGGCTTCCACTGCCCACTGCATGCAAGAGTTACTGCATGCCACTCAGAGGAAGGTTCTCTTAGGAGGCCATGCCTGGTAAGTACGGACGGCCAGTTTTCCATGCATAACGTTATTGGAACCAAAACTCGCACCATATATCATATAATTAAAGGTATTATTTGCACCGATCGATTTTCGTGACGATACTACTACACTACTTTATATTCCTTCACTCTAAAAATATTGGCTCTTTCAAAACAATAACATCAAGAATATTACAAATTTTTCCGAACAACTGCATCATCTTCCATCATCATTTGTCAGAATTAAAAATGATAAGTTAAATAATAGTATGTATTGTTTTTAAATTTCAGATAAATAAGCGTCCCACACCAGCCAGCTAGAATGGCTGCCCTCACACAGACCATCTCGTTAGTGCCAGGAATTGAACTGGGAATGCAGTGGGAAGTGGGAATGCAGCGACAAGCAGCAAGGGCAGACATATGCTGATTACTTTGAACAAACGAAGCAGCAATATGAAGACCGTCATGCTGCCCTGGTGGCAGAAAAGAACAATAGATTTAAACTCCCAAAGATTGGACTATCCACATGGTTAGCGGAAAAGCTATCAGAAGAACCATCAAAGTATGATGTAACTCTAATGTGTTCTTTTCTGTGTGAGATATTCAAGTTAAAAGTATCATACACGCACGTTGGCCATGTGAGAAGTCTCAGTCAACTAGAGTGCCTCCTGAAGGAGGCCAAAAACATAAGAAATGCTGTTATGCATGAAGTCGCTGACGATGCTGTCAACCCTATGAAGTTTGATGAAATTGTCAGAGCCATGCATGATGTGATAGATGAAGCTGGCAACGTGTACAGCATCCCTGCTGATGAAGTCACAAGTTTCAAAACTCAGATAGATGGGTTATGGGATGACGTGCGCACAGATAATGAAAAAGCTAAGGCTTATTGTCGCTTCTTCCTGCAAACTTATGGAAATAAAGAAGCCAAAGTCATGTGGGAAGAGATGTTGTCCGAAGAAACTCTGCTATTCGGTGATGATAAGGTTGAGCGCTCTAAAGTTTTTTATTCCTTGGAAATGTTAGTCCAGAAACCAAACGCACAACCAAAAGACAAGATCTCATACACAGAACTTCTCTGTGAGGACACCAAAAAGTTTGTAGTGGTCATTGGTGTATCTGGGTCAGGTAAATCAACACTGGTGAAAAACTTGATGATACAGTTCCATAAAATCTCGGACACCGAAGTGGAGATGATTAATTTGAGGCATCATAAAGTGATCCTCTATTATGAGTGCAGGAATGTATCGATTGCAGAATTTAATGACGTTGTTAAGGAAAATTTCGAGAAGGTGTGTCAGAAACTTGGCCATGAAACTGTCATTGAAGGAATCACTGAATTGAACCCTGTAGTTCTAGTTGATGGTTATAAGTACAAAAAGAAATCCATCTATATTTTTGAATTCATGATTCAGTCTCCCAAATCATTTGGAGCTTTAATTCAAAATAACCTTCATGAAGAACATGGATTGATCATACAAGTTGTGCGTAAAAATGCTAGTTACGACCTCCAATTGAAGGAAACTAATTATTTTCATAGTAAAGTAATTATATTGGATAATAGAAGATTTAGTTCCTCATAAAGTTACTGAGCGATGTAAGAGGTTCACGAGTATTTTGTTAAGCGTGCAGATTCGAGTTCGAAAAATATTGTTTCAATTTTATTTTTCTTCGCACAGTCTTATATGTTACAAAGTAAAAATTGTCCGATAGCTTATTCTCGGCAAATAAAATCATTTTAACTTTTGATTTTCGACATGATGTAATAAATAACTAGGCTTAAATACATATTTCCATAAAATTTTCATTGGTTTGAGTTCAGGTTTTTGAATTTCAATGGAATTTGAATATACAGCCATATCAATAATAGCTTTTTGGTCTATTTATTTGAATCGAAAGATATCATTTACGATGTTGTAATATTATAATGCGATAGGTGGGATCATCAGTTAGTTTACAGGCAGCAAACTAACCGATCTTTCAAACAGCACACAGGGAGTCCTGACATACGTGCTGATGGAGCTGTGTGCGGAAAACAACTACAAAGTCCTGAAACCTAACTGGGATCGCATGAAGGAAGCTGCAAATGCGGCATTAGCTGACAAGAATTTCTGGCAGCAAATCCTGCTTAGCAGCCCGCACTCCCAGCTTGTAGCTGAAGAGACTGCCAGAGTCTACAAGACTCACAGCGACGTCTGGAACATTGGCTCGGGTAATCGTTTTATATTATGATTCATGTGATTGTAGCAATAGGGTCGTCCTCAAAAACTTTTTTCTTTGAAAATGAGTTCCTACCTCAAAAACGGGTTCGTCTAGATGCCTAAATAATATCCTCAAAATATTTTTCATATCGGTTAATATTTAGAGGTCGCTCAATGGTGTCAAAGGTTCACCCCTATGGCTCAGGGTCATTGGGTCCGTAGAGTGAACAAATAAACGGGTCTGAACATGCTTGAACAGTAATTTATTGTCCAGTCCCAACCGGAATGACTTGATTACATTTCAGAGTGCGTTGTGCAGTGCGTACCTCTGACAGTCAGTCAGTCGTGTTCAGCCACGGATTGTTGAAGGTTGAGATAAGCAATGGTGACTGTCACACGTGCGAAGGGGGGATATTCTGCGTCTCCTTCTCCCACGTTGATGGAAGCAAAGCTTCCTTCCTGCTAGGAAGGAAGAATTTCCTGCTAGGAAGTTCTGGCCGTTGTCCACTTCCATCATAGCAATAGTGCTACTTACGCTGACGTCTTCAGGGATGTCAACTTTGAAGTCCTCCAGTTCTGGGAACGTGCAAGGATTCCAACAATGCGTCCCGATAACATTTTAACAAAGCTGGAAAAGATCAAGCAAGAACACCATCAAGTCAAGAATAATTGTAACCAGGGAATCCAAGGCCCAGACCGAGAGGAAGTCCGTCTTCAAGGAGGAACTGGAGTGGGTCTTCGACGTGGCCCACAAGGATGCGCCCTCGATCATGAAGATTGAGGAAGACATTGCCTTCCTTGTCGCGCAGCGGCAGCCTGGCCGCCCGAGGTACATGGGAGGTATCGATGCCGAACTTGCCCATAAGGAAGAGCGGAACTGTAAACGGTGGCAAGGGCATGAAGAGCGCTGTCATTGGGCACAGCAGCTGTCAACGTTGGCTTCTACTGCCATGGACCCAGGCGACTTGTCCTCCACGTCATGCAGCGCTAAAGCGGAGGAGAAAGAGGAATTCCATGTGCAACAAGAGCAGAGAGTTGTTGGGACAAGCGTTAGTCCACCGATGAGGGCGAAGAACGTGATTACGCCAGGCTTGGCAGCTTCCCTTGACCGAACTAAGGTGAGCAATAGAGGAGCCGTGTTCCTTCTTACCAAAGCAGCTCGAGACTTTGGCCACAAACCAGAAGATGTTAACAATCAACTGCTCCTCAATTCGCCGACATTGGCAAAAGCACCGATCCATGTACGCCTCACAGCTTAAGGCGGACTTGAAGATGAGCGAGACAGTGGTGATGCATTATGAAGAAAAGCTAATGCAGGAACTCACGAATAAGAAGCACGTGGACCGTCTACCTGTCCTTGTCAGCGGGAAAGGAGCCGTACAACTCCTCGGTGTTCCCAAGCTCGCCAACGGTACGGGGAGGGTACTGAGCAATGCCGTCGTCGCGCTTCTGCGGGAGTTGGGGATTGAGGATCGTGTGGTGGCGGTTTTTCGATAGAACGGGATCAAACACCGGGAACATCCATGAACTTATCGTCGGCGCAGCATTCCAGGCGGTCATGGGAGGAACATCGGGCGCACTGTTGAGGGTTACAGGCCCAATAGGAGTTTCTGGAGTTTTGTGGGAGTTTCGAAATTTCTACACATTAAGAACTCTCCATAAGGAAATCAGAGCGTGATGTAGAGGCATGGGAAAACTATATTTGAATTTTAGACCCACTGTGAACAACCCCAATGTTTAGGCCCGTTTCTTTGTTCACTCTATGGACCCAATGACCCTGAGCCATAAGGTAAAACTTTGACACCATTGAGCGACCACTATATATTAACTGATTTGAAAAATATTTTAGGGATATTATTTAAGCCTCTGGAGGAACCCGTTTTTGAGGTAGTAACTCATTTTCAGGAAAAAAAGTTCTTTGAGGACCACTCTATTGTAGCAATACAACAATAAATCTCATTCAGATGTCTCAAAATTTGACATGCCATTGGCCTACATTTTTTCAACATTTCTATCAATCACCCGATGTGAGACAGTTAAAATATGTAAATGTATAGTTTTAATCGTGTCCAATATAATCATTAACCATGGTGAAAAAATTTCAAATACATTTACGCTGCCATTCAAAGGTATATATTGGTTTGCTTGAATAGAAAAATTAACTTGCATGAAAATCATAAGTCCATCGCCTGAAAATTCGTGTTTTCATCGCATGTAAAGAATGCAACGTTGTATTAGGATCAATCTAATGAAAACTATGACTGTTACTTGAAAAAACCGTACCATATTGCAGTTAGCGCATATGTTACTGTGTACGAGTATACGATTTTTTTTCAAGAGATTCTTCAACTTCCGAGAACTGATTCATTCACCGCCAGGCCGCGATGCCGACACCATTGCGCTGCTGCTGCCCTACCAGCAGCCCGCCACGCTCAGCGTCAGCCTCCTGGACGCCCCAGCGCCCGAGTCCTGGCGTCAGGTGGCTGCAACGTTCAGGGGGGTCCTGGAGCTGCGACTTCTGAGTGAACGCGACACCTCGCTACCATGTGACCACATGGTCGAGGCCTTGAGCTCATCGAGGTGCTTGGTTGTAGCCAAACTTATCTCTAAGGGAGATAAGTTTCTAACCGGGGATAATTCATCTTGGTGTAAACTAAAGGACATTTACTATACCCCTTTGCTCAAAGATGATAAAGATTATTTTTTAAAAATTTGTCATTGCTTGCCTATTTTCTTTCCGGGCAGATGTTCGTTGTCAACATTCTCTGGCCGCGTCAAGGAAGCAAGCAGCATCCGATCTCTAGGAAAATTCGCGACGCCCGAAACTGAGTTCTTCGTCGTTACAGAACCGCACGTCAATTTGACGCCGCTACAATACATGCACCAAGAGCTGTGTGCGTGCAGATATTATGAAGATCAAGTTGTACATATACACGCGTATTTTTTCATTCTCGCGTCGTTCTTCTTTTCCTTGTTTTTCTTTAGTTTCTACTTTCTGATCATGAGCGTACGTACAAGTTTCTATCATTCATACATTGGGCATATCCCTGTAATATCACAAACTAACTCGTCCAATATACCGCGGGAATAGCGCATATTTCACTTACGCGAATGTATGGTCTGCAATTAAGCTAGAGTAACATATGGAAGCCTAGCCTGTCGCTAACCTATCGCTTACCTATCGCTGTTCACTTCAGTTTTCCTTGCATATTCTCAATAGTTCCTGGTAAAATAAAAGCAAGAACATTTTCTATTAGGTCTACAATTTGCTCATGAGGTCTTACTTCTCAGATCTCATGTTAACACTCAATGCTTACTTCTCAGATCTCATGTTAACACTCAATGCTTACTTCTCAGATCTCATGTTAACACTCAATGCTTACTTCTCNTGAAGGAAAATATTTGTGACCGAACTAAGAAGGCAAAAAATTACCTTGGTTTCGCTCATGATCAATAATTAAGGTAGACATAATTCACCGAGATTGTTTATTATGACTGCAAGAGATCCTACAGTATCAGATGACTTTTAATATCACATAACTTTTAACATGTTTATTCATTAATCTGGTTGATTTTGCGCATCAGTTAGAAAAACTCTAACTATAATAAACTGAACGAAGCACCCATTTACACGCAATTTCAGAAACGCTTGCTTGTGATTGCTAGTACACAGTTTCATTGTCACTCTCATTAGCCGTTTATCAACTTAAGTTAGATTTTGATAATTCGATAATATATTACGGTACATCCGGTCATTTACTGAATCCATCTTTTCCAGCTTGTACATGATTCGCATTGCATTATAGAGAATGCTACTAGTTCAACTTCAACTTGATTGTATGTTTCCTCATCCATCTTGGATCCTACACCGTGTAGAATAGAAATTAAAATTTGGCTCAGTCATTTGCGCTCTATAATATAATTAATATCCCCATTAAGGTTGAAGTGGCTGGAGGTGCGTGACTGCGAGTTGACTGAAGCGCAGCTGCTAGAGGCGGTAGCTGTGATACAAAGCAAGGGCCTCAGGACGCTCTTCCGGGGCAAGCAAATCCATGGGGGCCCCAGCCGAGTGCTGACTATTCGGTAAATAAATCTAGCCTATTAATGTCACTTACTAATCCTATCGACATAGCCGGTCGACGAAAATAATGTTGTCTTCTTAGCGCCACTTCGAATTGCGTCATTTTCCTTGGAGTTCAGCAGGATTTGTTGACTTCCGACTCAGACATTTTATTGCGTTCGAGTCACATCGACAATAATTCTGATAAATCCGTTATTACTTCAATCTGTTGCATTTGGAGCTGAAAAATAACGTTATTCCCGTAAAAAATAAGGTCGTTTTGAATGAACAATTTTTGACTTAAATCTACGTTATTGGCAACTATTATTTTTCTTCGCGAATGGAATACAATGAATTCCGTAATATTATAACACACGTTAATAAGCGATTCTGACGACATGACTGGTAGGTATACGTACATCTTGAGACTTTTAACTTCCAAGGCTTCTGAAAATTTAAAAATTATTTTTTGGAAGCAATTTCGTAAGCCATTGATATTTTTCAAACCATTACAGAGAGAAGAATTACGCGTTCATTCTAACCGATGTACCACCGCTGCTACCGCTGGCAGAACCAAGCAGGTAGGTAGGTACCCACAATTTTTTTACCTAAATATGACTAAACCTTGTCTGAACCTCATGTCAACTCACCCGAAACAAGATATTTCCCTGGAGAATAGATGTAGCTTGCGTGATGCAAGATATGATTACATGAAATGGAATTTAAGTAAAAATGGTAGGAATTGCCTGAAATATGAATAATTTCGAATCCCAACGTTAAGCGTGAAGAACTTGAGATCCGAATGACTTGATTTCTCTGTAGACCATATACGGTTTAAGTCTACCTTTGTCTTTGAGATGATAATACACAAGGTAATAATTGGGCGGAAAATCATAAGATTATCTTATAATATAGCAGGTTTGAGGCAGCAACACCTCACAAGTCAAACGCCAGTCTCCCCAAGGCCCCCGCCGTCGGTGATGAGAAGGCCCTACTGGCCTCGTCATGCGGGGACCTGGACGCCGTGTACAGGAGTCTGTACGCCCTGAACGTTGTGCTGCCGCACGCGCTGCGCTTTGTAATGGAGAAAGAGTGCGCGGACAAGCCTCAGCAGGACACTTACGCGGAGTATTTGTTATCGCAGTGCAGACATCCAGTGTATCGCGAATGGCTGGCTTCTAGAATTAGAAAATCACCCGTGAGGGTGGCTCTTGAAAAACATGAATGTGACGGGATAGATCTACGGCCATTCGATGTTCTCCCCTTAATCCAGCTGGTTTCCGAACTTCTAGATATTAGATCAAGTCGCTTTGCCGATGCGACCGAGCGTGCAGGAGATTGCAAGAACGTCATCGCTCTTCTGCAAAAAGTCCAGGACCTCAGAGTTAAGGTTCACTCGGAAATGTGCAAGGATCCTTCAGAACTCTTTGGGGTTCCTGAAAAGATTAATGAGGTTACAATTGAGCTGATTAGTGAGGCTGCTAAACTGTACCGAGTGCCAGATGTGGAAGCGAAGCAGGTGGATGATACATGTAAGTCCCTTGAGGATAAATACAACTATGATGTGAACCTGGATGATGACGCTTTTGCATCGTACCGTGTATTGAAAGAGAACATGACGTGGAGAGACCAACTCCTCCTAAAAGATGTTTTGAAAAGACGTAATTTCTTGTCATATGAATTTCGATCTGATTGGGTTCATCGTCCGTTTAGAAATTTACATTCATCAATCTATGGATCAGATATACCTGATTGCATCCCAGACCGCACTTGGAATTCCATTTATAGTGGGATAAAGGGCATCTTCATTCGCTTCAACTGCCGTGACAAGAAAATCTGCAGTTTTTCCGACGTTGTTGAGCAAAATTTCCCCAAGTCTTGCAGCCAAATCGGAGCTCATAACGTTCAGTATATTCTGACCAAACTGAATTCTTTAATTCTTGTCGAGGCCTACGATGAAGCCAATGCAACTTCAAGCGTTGCCGTTGAAGAAATGATCTACAAATTTTACAAATTTGACTGCGAATTTGTCATCACAACGCGGCCTGACCCATCGCAATCTGGCCTGACTGCATCTCAAAGAAATTTCCTTGAAAGTGGCCGCATTGGAGACGGAATGCTATTACCCTTCGCCTTGAAATATCTGGAGAAAAAAACAACCTTGAAAATACCCTGAAAACTACCGCCGCTTCTAGACGAATATCCCTGCACTTGTCCCATATCCTGCATCGTCTAGACCTTGCTCCTCATTATTATAAATGATGACTGTACTGTACTAGTACCTAAATTATACCGATGGAAATCAATTAAGTTACAATATACAAGGATAATTGCTCCAGAAAAGAGTGGGGACTCGAGATTGAAGTTTGTTTCTGGTTATCCTTGCCTGGCTTGAAAAATAATAAGAAGTAAAATTATGATTTAGAAATCTTTTCACTAGTAAAAGTAGTTGAAGAAATATGAGCTTCTCGGGCAAAAAATAATGGAAAGAACGGATATAACTGGGTAATTAAGAATTGGTGAATTTAGAATTTAACTATTTGTCATTAGTTTAGCTGCAAAAAATTTGTTCAGTCCCCGGCGCGTTTTCTGCAGTTATTCCTCTTGGAAACTTAAACGCAAAACCTTTAGTGATTTCAATTGTCGTACATCAGCTGTCCATTCGTTATCATCAGATGGTTCTTTGCGGATTGTTGGTTCGAAATGCATTGAAGGGAAGCTTTTGTGCATTTGCTGTGTTAATACTTATCTCAAGATTAAGCGATTGCGAATGGCCTTGATGCACAGTAAAGTGATTAAGTTTGATGTTGTAAAATTAATCTGTTAACTGTCCATGAGAATTCTCCGTACATGAATCAGAACAGATTAAAAATCCCAGATTATGATCACTGAGTTTTCTAAATTTTTGGGATGCAGTTGAGTACTGCATGTATTGACCATAATGTTGCTGTGAAATTCGTCGCATTTTTACACGGCAATTACGAACCGTTTTCATTCAAGTAATATATTTAAGGACTTCCCGTATTTTTTATTGCATTAATGAACTTCATTATTAACTCTGATATTGTTGACAACTGCTTGATTATTTTCCCAATTGCCATTTAATATTTTCTTAAATGCAGTTAAGAATTGCAATATATAATTTTATGCAGTGAAGAGCGGTCTTTATTTACTGAAATCCTGTTTATAAATGTCTTAATTTTCTATGATGCAGTTAAAAACTACCTTTATCTACTGAAATGCTGTTTATAAATGCCTTAATTTTCTATGATGCCGTTAGAAACTGCCTTTATTTACTGAAATGCTGTTTATAAATGCCCTTATTTTCTATGATGCAGTTAAAATCTGCCTTTATTTACTGAAATGCTAGTTGTTAAATGCATCAATTTTCTATAATGCAGTTAAAAACTGTCTTTATTTACTGAAATGCTGTTTATAAATGCCTTAATTTTCTATGATGTAGTTGAAAACTGCCTTTATTTACTGAAATGCTGTTTATAAATGCCCTTATTTTCTATGATGCAGTTAAAATCTGCCTTTATTTACTGAAATGCTGTTAATAAATGCATTTTTTCCATAATGCGGATGACAACTGCTAAAAATGCTGTAAGGGTGTTAATGATTGCCTTCAGTTACTGTAGCGGGCCAGCATTGGCCGCTCTATTAGTTTTCTTCAGCTGCCGCACCTCACTACTGGAGACTGTAGAGAAAAAGTTTGCGTTGGTAGTTTTCTCGGGAAGCGGCGGATTGCTAGTAAGGAGCCTACCTTTGCCTGACCTACCATACGTGTAATGTCTATATATATCTGTATTTAATGTCTATATATTGTCTGTACTCGTAAACCTATACGCATTTAGTTTATAGTCCCATGTTGTGGCTGCGGCTTCTCCAAGAAATTTTAATATACCATGTGGCCTCTGAAGAATCACGGATCCATTTTGATTCATCCTCGTACTTCAGAGCCCGCTTGCAGAGACCCAGTAACTTTGTGTATGAAACGTAGTTCTCCCGCTACATTACTATAACATTTATTCGAACTTCCTTTATAATTACTACTAGAAGGTTAGCCTGGTTTTACCTGATATAAATCTACGCTGCAATTTTTAAAATGCAGCAATCCCAAATTCTGTAAGTGAGAATAAAATAAATGCGTGATGAATTGAAAAGAGTCGCGTTCAAAAAAAAACATTATACATAAAACTGTCACAAGACTCTTGCTTAAAAAAAATTGTCAATCCTCGAATAAATAGGCACTGATTTATATACCAAATTTCCCTTTTTTATCAAATTCCTTCATCTAATCATTTCTGATTCTCCTACCACGAATAAATTTTCAGGTTCAGGTAATATCATGACACGATAAGTATCCTGGATACGCGCCCCAACAGCCCCTATATACAATATCCCGACACGATAAGTATCCTGGATACGCGCCCCAACAGCCCCTATGTACAATATCCCGTCACGATAAGTATCCTGAATAAGCGCCCCTAACAGCCCCAATGTACAATATCCCGACACGATAAGTATCCTGGATACGCGCCCCAACAGCCCCTATATACAATACCCCGACACGATAAGTATCCTGGATACGCTCCCAACAGCCCAATATACAATATGCCGACACATATAAGTATCCTGGATACGCGTCCCAACAGCCCCTATATACAATATCCCGACAGTATAGGTATCCTGGATACGCGCCTCAGCAGCTCCTATACCCTACCAAAATTTTGATTGCTGTCAGCCGCTGGCTCAATGTCGCCCCAAGCCCTCCTAGCGGTGTGAATTAGCGGCTCTTTGTCCACTTTAGGTTCTGGTTTTACGAGGAAAATATGCACCTGATTAGGATCCGGTCTATTCCTCGACAACCGTGGGCGACTGTGGGGCGCGTGTATTTGGTACCTGATACGTTCGGGACAGACACGGCCGAATCTGAAAATGGGTTTAAAAATGCCCCTCCCTTCTCCCTTTTATGGGGAGAAGGGAGCGAGCATTTGAATCGTTGTACGCTATGTATATATGAGCAGACTAGACATGCATCATCGCGGCACAATGAAGCAAGTGGCAAGTAAACACGGGTTTGAAACACTTAGGAAGTTGTGTTTCTAAAGATTCCTAAATTAACATGTTCAGCCATTAGAAACTTGACTGTTTTCTATTAGCTTGCATCGCAGTTCACACTAAGGATACACGATAGAAAAGAGAAGTATGTCTAATTATCATCCGCACGCGACGAAATGCTCCAAACTACTAACAGTTTGACACCAGAGCGTCGGGGGTAGTGGGTACGGGTAACCCCACTTTTGAACAGGGAGTATTTTTTTATCAGTCTTACCTGGAAAGCGTGGGCTTTGAAGCCTTGCGTGTAATTGTAATTTGCGCGTGTTGCCGCAAGAACAATGCATGCTTGTTGCTAAAACGCGACGCACATATGTAGACATAAAAAAAACACAAGACGGTTCAAGACAACGTACTGCACGCATGTTGTTGTACATATTCGCACATCGCAAGCGTGTTAACAGAAAAGCAATGTCCGCGTAAGATCGCATAATGAAGATAACGCTGTTCACGCATGCGCTGCTGAAAACGTGTTGGCGAGAATTAGTAGCAACCCTATTGACATAAAAGTAACGCAAGCGTGTTGAAGATAACGCAATGACCACGTGTTTTTCAATGCGCACGCGAAGCAAGCGCGTTGACAAACACGCATTGCACGCGTGTTAAATCTCACGCAACTCTCGCGTGAGCAACACGCACTCGATGCAAGCGTGTTGAAGGTAACGCATCACAAGCATGTTGACGTACACGCAATGCAAGAGTGTTGAAACGCTCGCGCGTTGATAAGTTCGTACCCATGCACAATGCACATTCAGCGTCGCAACTAAAGCCAGGGGCTTATCACTCTAGCGCCAAGAACCCATGCTAGCTACTGAGCAGGGTAAGCCAATGGTGGCCAGACCAGCCGCTGATTTCGTTCCCATGTACATTGAACAGGTCGGGAAAATATTTCTGGTAGAATCTCAACTTGGCTTCCCTTTCCGAAGAGGAACACACGCGGTGACCGACGCTATTTACTCGGCAATAACTCGTTTCTCTTAACCTTCACCGCTGACATCACCTCTTTTTGACCCTTTTTTTTTAGTTGAACTACCCAAAATAGCTCCTATTGGGCGGCTGAATTGGAAAGGCGGCGATTTCACACGAGATTCATCTTTAAGGCGAGAGTGGCTCCTGAAAGGTGACCGACAGCTGCGTCTGAATTTTGACAGGGTATGTTTGGGGCACTAGGCATCAAACGTACAAAGTTTGACACAAAATTATAAGATTCCAAAGTTATTCATGCAAGCTAACCCAGTTTGTATTCTTTGATAATTATAATGTATAATTATAACTTTTTGTACATGTCATAATACATTTTTATATATAAATATATATTATGTAAAACGAGATATAATATCTTGCTTCTCAGTACCCACAACAGAGCTCGTGCCGCTGGGATATCGACCATCGCGCAGTGGAACTGAGTGCATTTTCACTGGATGCGATTATTGCGCTACATGTTGACTTTCAAACGATGAATATCTGAATACAGAGAACTGACTCACTGATGCTGGTACTGACTCACTGATGCTGGTACTGACTCATTCACTCTGGTACCGTTCATATCAATGACTCACACCAATACTTACCAATCACCAATACTCGCCAACCACCGAAATAGAATTATTATTCTTACTTTTAAAAGTCAACTCGAAAGTTCTATCAAACTTAGAAATTTATTCTCTTAAAAGCAGCAGAAAGCCTGTTACTATATCAAGAGTTCGTCCGTATCTAAAATAGAATTAGTAATCATAACTTTTTGAATTAAACTTCAACTTTTCTCAAAAATAGAAATTTATTCACTTTGAAGTGGCAAAAAGTCTGTTATAATATCACGAGTATCAGCTCGGCCGTTCCCTTTAAATAGAATTAGAATTCCGAAATTTTTAAATTCAACTCGAAAGCTCTCCCAAGCCTAGAAATGTTTCCACTTCAAAACGGCATAAGCCTTTTATAATTTAACGAGAATCATTTCAGCCGTTTTATATAAAAGTTATGAATTGGAATTCATAACTTTTAAATTCAGCTCATAAGTTCTCATAATCCAAAAAATTTATTCACTTTAAAGCGTAAAAAAGTCAGTTATAAATTCACGAGTATCAGTTCAGCCCATTTTAAACAGTCTAAACTGCTTGACACTCGCAGCATCTTATTTCAAATTTAGCAAGTTGCTAATTCGATCTATTGTCTTATTCGTAAGTTCATTGAGAATCATGCACAAGGTGGGGGTTCTTCATGGATTCGATGTATACAGTTTGATGATAACCCGTGTTATCTACTATTATCTTATCGTTATCGTCACCACAGGTAAGTTAGCCTCCCTGAGTATGGACATCAGTCGAAATTAGTCTCCGGTGGTGAGACATTGTCTCTTTATGGAATGGTATATGGTAATATTTTATCAGGTTAAGTAAATGTTCGTGAATAATCTTCAAAATATTGAAGGAAATAAAGTTTTAGATTGGCCCTTATGTGCCACGGTCACTTGCGTATCCGCTGTTTTCTTGTAACATTTTTAAGTATTGCGTTCGATAACCGCGCCCCATTATTGGAAGTTGGAGATTTGAAGGGAGCAACAATTATCAGTATACGAAATTGGTCGTTAATACCATTCCAAATTTAGACGCAACTACTAATAAGGATAATATATTTTTAATTTCATTCCGCTTCCCCTCAATTGTGATGCTCAAGACCCGTCTTGAAAGTTTATGCTGCCATTGCTGAAGACGATTATTTCTTTTCACGCTTTGTATCATCTCCTGGAAATACACTATAAACCATAAATAATGACAAGGGAGGCGAAAAACAACGGGCTCAGTGTGATTTAGCGAACATTGCCGATTGCTTCAACTCACACTTCATGCCACGAGAATTTTTCCTCCAGAGGTGAGTAATTTTTCCAAAAGGGGTGAGTAAAGAATAAGTGACGCATTATCTTAACATTATAAAATCCTACATAAAGCAGAGTCCTTGGCACGTATATATCGATAGGTTTGTTCAGCATTAAATTAAATAATTACCGAAAATCAATTTGGAGATTAAAATGTAAGAAGAACTTCGTATATAAGGGATTCATTTTGCTGTCGAATCTACAGAAGCTTCGTTGAGAAGGCTAATCAAAAGTCATTGATTTACAATGTACTAACCAATAGACTACATGAAGCTGCAATTTCCCATCAGGAAAAGATTGAAATGTTCGAAGGTATAAGTGTAGGAATCATATATAAAATTATTCCAAGCCGACGAATCAATTAAGGATGCAATCTTTTGCCAAGTTTAAAACTTGTGTGAATACATTTTACTTGCTATACAGCATGTGTTCCAACATACACCCAATGTTGAAAATTTCTACCTCTGCCAAAATCTTGAGAGCGCAATTGCGAATCAGGATGAATGCCGCCTGCCGATGCAAAGTATTGCAACGAACTTCACTTCAGAAAGCACTGGACAGCAAAAACTAAGGAATTTGTAATGCTGAAAATGTCAGAAACGAAACCATTCAGTTACTCTCAGTTGTTTCCTCAAGTCGCAGACAAGACACGATAAAACTACATAACTTGAATGAGTAGCGTGTCTCAACCGACGTTCCGACCGGACGAAGAATTGTATTAATTGTATTAAATTGTAATAATATGTAACCGGACGAATAATTATCCAACTGTACAGTGTTGCCAACTGTTTTCTCGCCGAGACTACCTGCTTAGCTCAAAATACAAGAAATGTACCAAAAACTTACTTGTTCAAAAACCGATTTATACATTCAAATTTGATGAAACTATTCGTCAGAAACGTTGGTTAGAAAACAAGTCGTATTTTTATTATTATTTTCACAACAATTCTCTTAACTTCACTTCCTGTAGTTTGTTTGTTTGTCTGTTTGCTACAAATCTTATAATCGATATTTTAAACACCTCTCCAATCGATCTGAAATTTTGCACACTTGCGTAAAGTTGGAGACAATGCATGAATCAATTGACAGAATAAATAATTTAGAAAAATTTAATTTTGTTTAATTTTAAAGTAAAATGCATAAATTTATTTTTTATATAATTATGATAGTAAAATTAGAAATTCATTGTACAGTATTGACATCGAAGACACTGCATTCTATTGAAGTGCTGTCTTTAAAAATTAATTTTTGAACGCTTATTATAACTGCGCATGTTTCTGTCTTGACGAATAATGCGGAATGGGAGACTGGGTCCCCATTCCGTTCGACAGAAATCAAAACTTTGATCTGGTTAGAAGTATCCCCTGCGAGGTATCCTCGGTTCGCCTCAACTATGCTGGCACACTTTGTAATCTTCTTATGTGAATCCGGATTAATGGGTTTATAAGAATCTGATATGAGCAAGCGATCTATCTATTTTAGAAATTTCCGGGCAAAATTTCACACCAGATTAAACTAACTGTGCTGGTTATGGCTCAATCTGGGTACTAATGAAGAGTCACTTGCCCTATCAAAATTTTGATTGCTGTCAGCCGTTGGCTCAAGGACGCCCCAAGCAAGTCTAGCGGTGTAAATTAGCGGCTCTAGGTCTGTTTTAGGTTCTGGTTGTTCGAGGGTAATAAGCACCTGATAAGGATCCGGTCTATCCCATGACAACCGTGGGGCGATTGCAAGGCGCGCTGGCACGCCCGAATCTGGAAAATGAGTTTAAAAAATGCCCCCTACCTTCCCCATTTATGGGAAAAGTGAGGGGTCAAACAATTTTCAATATTCACCAGCAATAAGCATTCTCACAAATTGCCAAAAGGTAACATTCTTCAATGTGCGATAACACTCAACTGCAACATACTCCAAAATTCAACACCGCTCAATATTATCCCACATCATCCATTTACGAAACATTCTACCCATTTACCCGCAACAAACACTCCTACCTATTGAGGTAATAGCGGTACCAAACATTTTGCGTTTTGCGATATACGGCTGAGCAAAACATTGTCTCATCTAAACTAGTATTGAACCTTCTCTCATATTTACCAGCACCAAAAATTCACATATACTGTTAAGCACTCTTCCGCAATTACCTCTTAAATCAGTCCTCAAACTTCTTCCAAAATATTTGCAACAACAGCCTAGTGTATCTGCAGGGCTAATTATTGCAACAATTTTAACATAGCGCGAATTCAATATGGTAGCTAATTCCTGCGTTTCCAGGTACGAAGTACATAAAATGTAGTTAATTGTTCGCGGTAATGCAATTCAGGGCCAGACCACACCCGCCTGCATTCACATTCAGTGTAATTTGCTAACGACTCGTTATCTTACGACACGTCACTTGTAAGTTCCGTTCATCTAACTGTTTTGCACGGGTCTATAAAATTCTGCCTACTGTGGCTGCAAAGAAGAATAGAACTATTACTACCGTCGAAATTGCAGTGGGAATTTGTTGCCTTTCATCATTGCCATGTTTAATGGCAATGTCAGACATTTATCCTCTATTACTTTGTAATTCTTCGAAAATAACTCAATTCCGAAAAACCGAAAATAACCAGATAACCCTAAAAGACAATTCGGTTTTACTCCGACCAAAAACCGGATGATGCGATAGAAAGAAGCACATAAATGATTGTCACAGGAAAAGAACAGCTTAGTTAGTTACTTATAACGCTTTGCATCCTTGATCATACACGTTTTGCTCGCAGAGGTGCGGTGGTGAAGACTTTCTGTTGCTAATCACGTTCAACTGTTGATAATTATTAACTTTATGTTCCACAAATCCATTAAGCTGTTATGGTTAATTAGATATTAGAACCTATGACATAAACACAAGGAACTCAAATAACATGCTCCTGCACACGTAAACCTTAAGTTGAAATTTCTATGACTGGAGAACTCTTCGCTGAACTACCGGTATGTTCTTGAATGCCGTAAACGGTGCCGGTTTCCAACTATCATCACTGTAAAAAGCCCTGCATAGTAAAACTAAGAACGTTGTGCTTCTAAAAATGTTCAAAATTAACAAGTTTATCGTTTAAAACGAATTTTTTCAAGTTGCATACTTGACTTTGCACCGCACGATTGATAACACAACTGAGATAAGAAGCGTGTGTCACTCTACATGTGAACAAAACTAGCGAAACTGCAGCCTGCAGTCTTCGTGCGTTTGCTCACGTCCCTTGCATAGCCTTTTACCGGGGTAGTGGTAACCCCCAACTGATGGGGGAGTATAATGGTGGGGGTTGGGATAAACCCCAACAAGCAAAAAATTTTGCGCAGCGAACAGAATTAAGCTACTATACGAAATTTCGATTTCGTATCGTATCGTATTTAGAAATACGATTTCGTTTGAACCACCGAACATAGTTTGTATTGATTTGTTTAAAAAGTAGCGAGGTACCATGATACTTACGCCGCGATGAGTCATGCCCAGCGCGCAAAACCACCTTTGACCTTTGAATACAACGATCTTAATTTACTGACAGAGGAATGAATAATGTGAACCGCACTACAGTATCGCGTTGACCTAGAATATCCAAATTTTGAAGACCTGGTGTGTACAACCGAAGGTACATTGTATATTGCCTATCATCTTGAAAAGCACTGCCATCACTGTATCAAGCAGTGCCATCCCGCTGCTCTGGTTCAAGCAGAGCAGCCACTGGTTTATATTTATAAATATGATATTTTTTTAAATGGGATAATTTACATTCAAGCAGCCTCTGGTCTCTAAATATAAACTATGAAATTATATATTAATATATATAATTTCTATTATTATTATTATTATTATAGACTGACGCTTGATTTACCTCAAAAGTGATTCTATAGACTGCTGGGCGACCTAATATGGAATCCAAAATTGGAGTGGGTGTTCATTGATCAAGTACGTTGGTCAGATATTGTCTAGTTAAAAGATGGATATGCTGCTATGCGTTATATGTAAATTCTTCACAGCAGTTTTACGTTTTTATTAAATTTTAAGAACCTCTTGTGACTGGAGGCAATACTTACTGCATGCTACTTTGAGGAGCCAAACATCAAGGGGGACTATAGTACTAGATGCGAGATGATTTTATACACATCCTATGCGCCTATTGATTTCCTTTATTTTTCGCAATACTAGCCAAATTAAAAATGTTCAACCCTTGCAGAACAATAAAATGAAGAATATTAAAAATTTACGAGAATAATGTTAATATTTTTTCCACATTGTTTTCAGATAGATAAGCGTCCAACACCAGCCAGCTGAAATGGCCGCCCTCACACAAAACATCTCGATAGTCCCGGGAATTGAACTTTCTCCTCAGGAAGCCAACAGATATAAGAACATTTTTGCTGTCCAAGTTCCAATGTGTGAAGTTTTTCGAGCCATTCTAAATTGGGAATGCAGCGAAAAGCAGAAAGGGCAAACATATGCAGATTACTTTGAACAAAAGAAGCAGCAATATGAAGATCGCCATGCTGCTTTGGTGACACAAGAGAACAATAGATTTAAATTGCCAAAAATTGGACTACCCACAAGTTCAATTAAAATGCTACAAGAAGAACCATCAAGATATGATGTGACTCTAATGTTTTCTTATTTGTTTGAGATATTCAAATCAAAAGAAACATACACAAACGCTGGCCAGGTTAGAATTCCTAGTCAACTTGAGTGCCTCCTTAAAAAGGCCAAGGACATGAGGAATGACGTTATGCATGAAGTCGCTGCCGGTGCTGTCGACCCTATGAAGTTTGATGAAATTGTCAAAGCCATGCATGATGTGATAGATGAAGCTGGCAACGTGTACAACATCCCTGCTGATGAAGTAACGAGTTTTAAAGCTCAGATAGATGGCATGTGGGATGAAGTGCGCACTGATAATGAAAAAGCTAAGGCTTATAGTTGCTTCTTCCTTCAAACTTTTGGAAACAAAGAAGCCAAAGTCAAGTGGGAAGAGGCGTTGTCCGAAGAAACTCTTCTCTTCGGCGAGGACAAGGTTGAACGCTCTAAAGTTTTCCATTCCCTGGAACTGACGATACAGAAACCTGGTCTACAAGCAGGCAGGATCTCCTACAAAGAACTATTCTCTGACACCGACAAAAAGTTTATTTTAGTCAGTGGTGCGTCTGGATCTGGAAAATCTACTCTGGTGAAGAACTTGGTGATACAGTTTCATGGCATATCGGATGCAAATGTAGAGATGAAAAATTTACATAATTTCAATTTGATACTTATATATGAGTGTAGGAACAGGTCCATTGAACAATTCAGCGTAGTAGTGCAACAGAATTTTAAGAATGTGTGTCTGAAACTCGGCCCAGAAACTGTTGTACAGGCAATCACCCATTCAAACCCTCTAATTCTTGTTGATGGCTACGATGAATGTCATAAAGATTCGTTTAAAGTTGTAGATCAGTTGGTGGATGAAATGAAATACCATGAATGCCGGGTGATCATAACTACCAGGTCAAGCCACGTTGAAGAGCTAAAGAACCATTTGAAACAAAAACTAGTGACGTTTCAGGACTATGAAATTTCTGAAATTTCTGACATAAAAGACCAAATGAGATTTCTGGAAAAGTATGAAAAGCATGTCAATCCGCATGCTCATGAAGTTGTAAAGACCTTCAGCTCCCTTGAACGGAAAATCCAAGAACTTTTTGTAAATCCCATTTATCTGGTACTCTTCTGCCACTTGGTCTGGAATTTTCCTGAAAGGATTAATAATTGGACATCCCATGCTGAGGTAGCACATGACATTTATCGTCTGTACAAAAAAATGATTGAGTCGAAACTGGCTTCCTACCCCATTGTCGACAAAGACGGTCTTGTCAACGATTTCTTCTGGGACGTTGCTAATTTTTCCTTGCAGACTATTACTGAAAACCAATTGGTTTTCACAGAAGACCAAGTTGGTGAGTTGATGAGTAGTTTTAGGGAAACACTCGAGAAACATGGAGCACGCGGTGAACTGGACCCAAAAGCTCTTGTGGGGGTCGTCTTGAAAATTAAAAGGCATCTGAATGATTTTGATTCCTGTACGTACTTTTTTCATCACAAAAGCATCCAGGAACTGTTTGCCTCTAAGACTGTCATCAAGGAACTCCGTAAGAATAACTGCTTGCCATACGACTTGCAGGGCGTATCACGTGCGAGTCTAAAGTGAGTTGTAAATTTCGCAATGTTTTTGCATTTCTATCTTGATTTCTGTGAATAATTTGAATAAGACGTATGAATGGAGGAACATAACTGAAAAATATTTGTTCATGTAACAACAATCTTTAAAGCAAATAGTTATGCTAGAACTGCATTTTTTAAATAAACGAGGCTCTTAGTAAGATTGCACTTTAGAGCGACAGGATAGGGTACAAAGTTCCTGAATCATTTCAGATATGCTTAAATATATAGGGCTTAATGCTTAAACATATAAGGCTAACATCTACTAGATAAAGAGGTGGTTACAGTTCAGAGTACCAAGATTGGAGTAGAGAGGTGCGGGTTCGACCCCAGCTCTGTGCGACAGTTTCTGGTCAAAGTCGGCGAGGAGGCCAGGCGGTTTATGCAAAGCATCAGTCGAGCGGCGAGTTACACCTTAGAGACCGCAACAAGCTGTGCATGTTCTGCGATGTTAAGAATCGGCGACAGGCCTACGGCCAAATGAATTGAAACCACTATATCATTCTTATTGTAATCTATTATGGCCTATCTATCAATTGAACAAAGCAATGAACAAATCAACATTTAGTACCAACAGTTTGCAGGGTGTGCTGGCATACGTTCTGATTGAGTTGAGTGCTGTCGAGAACTCAAATGTCTTCAAACGTAACTGGCATCGCCTGAAGGACGCTGCAAAAGCGGCAGGAGCTGACAAGATGTTCTGGCAGAAAGTGCTGCTCAACAGCCCCCACTCTCAGCTAGTTGCTGCTGAGACTGCCAGAGTCTACCTGGCCCAAAACACCACCTGGAACATCGCATCTGGTAATAGTTTTATCCGGGATGCATGTTAGCAGCATTGCTCAATACCGTCATCACTTTCATATTCTTCACGTGCGCAATCGTGGTAACGAGTGAAGTAGCCTATGTTGACAAGTGTTAAAATCCATAGGCGCCGTAAGCCCGCAATCACTACTCCAGTCATAATAGTCATCACGGAGGCTACACTCCAGCATGCACCTACCACTACACTTACCCTGACTATCCACCCGAACAAAGCTCTCCGGATCTAGCCTAACCTCATTGGCTGTAGCAAGATAGCAAACTAGAGAAGCGGGGTTACAAGGTAACAACATTTACTGTCATATTACCGCCAAAATTGTACTCGGTAATTAGAATAATCTATTTTATTTAAAGTACTATCACACATGCACCAATGAATGTAAGGACATCATATTAAGTAGATGAATAAGTTTATTATAGCATAGTATTATCGGTGTCGAAGAATTTGTCAAATTTTGCATATCGCCGGTTCCTGTAATGTTCTTGAATTGTCTCTTGAGGAATGTGAGGACTGATCTTTTGATCAGATTTATCCAAAACTGACGGTGCAGCTGCGTAGCTACTCATCATCCACCAATTTGTGAGCTAGGAGGCACTCCGAAACGAATTATTTAACTCTGTACAGCTTTTTTCATTCTGTTCTTGAACGCGTTCGTACTAGCAGCGTCAACGATGACAGAAAGAAGTCTCCAGTCCAATATTCTTGGGTCCAGTCATGCACCAATTGATTCTTTAAGGCCGGATTCTTTAATGCATTTCTACAGAAGCATTCACACCAGCCGTGCGATGCACCTGTCATGCCCATGATGTGTGTGCTTCTATGGAAATACATTTAAAGAATATTGGACTGGACCATGACTGGTATATGCCCGGCAGTATAGAGTGAAGCCGGCCATATAATAACTTTTTCTACTGTTAATAGATTATTATTTAATTGTCAAATTGCAGTCAAATCAATTTCCCCACTCATCCCGCAGACCGCGATGCAGACACCTTGGCGCTGCTCATGCCCCACCAACAGCCCGAATGGCTAGATGTCAGCCGCCTGAACGACCCAGTTCCCAAGTCGTGGCGTCAAGTGGCCAGTGAATTCAGAGGAATTCTTGAGCTGCGACTCTTCAGTGAACAAAATCCTTTGCGACCATGCGACGACGTGGTTGAAGCATTGGCCGCCTCAAGGTCCTTGAGCCCAAACTAATTCATATGAGATTTCGTGAACACATCATGCGATTTTTTGCAATCCCGGACTAATTTCAATGAGAATACTTTATGAACAATCATTAATCACCATGTTACGACGATTATGTTTCACAAATAAAAAAGATGAATATATTTCCTATGTTATGATCCCACCAATGTATTTCTTTTAATGCAGCTGCTCGTTGTCAATATTCACGGGTCGTGTCAGGAATGCCGACAGCATCCAAAATCTGTCCAAAGTTGCGAGGCCGGGGACAGAGTTCAACATTTACATGGAGCCTCACTTGGACTTGACGCCACTACAACACAAGCACCGAGAGCTGTGTGAGTGGGCAATTTCAGAAAATAAATTCCATTTACGACAGATATGGTTTTCATGGAAGATTTGTTCGTTTACATATACCTCCTTTCTCGACAGTTTTATTCACTATATTACCCATGAACCAACCGTGGTCTTCATTACTTATCGTTTTCAGTTTGAATATTGAAGAATTGATTCGTATAGAACAGTTTTCATTTGAAGTAATATAGATTCAAATGCGTTCTTTCGAAATAAATTGTGCATAATTGGAAAAGTACCATTTCGTCTACTATGAATGAACTGTTGTGGTAAATTTAATGGCTAAATGAAATAGATTGGTTGAAATACACTAGCAGAATTTTCATTGTGCTTGGTTGGAGGAAATTTGAGCTTAGTTCCTTGACGTTAAATGTGGCGTGCAAGAATTTTTCTGTTCTGGCGTTAATTTGCTCAAACGGCTTCAAGTAATCTGTCACTGATGATGGTCGGTGCCACTTAAAGAATAAATTTCTCCGTATTATTTGCATTCTTTGTTGCTTTTCAGGGGTGATTGTTGAACCTACATTCAGGGAAAGCTTTGTTGCCCTGCCTGTGTCGGAGAATATCTGTCTGCGGGTGAAGCCTGTCGCTGAAAACCAGCAGGAGAGTTTGACTCGCACCATACTTGGGCTGGCGCCTGCTGATAACAGGTGCTGTTGTACAAATAATTATCATTTAGAAATTTCCATGCATTGCACGATTTGTGCAATGTTGACTATGTGCTGCTCATAGTCTCGACCTCTGACTTAATTTTCCTGAAATATTCTCCACCTGACATAAAAAGGTGCTTTAGAAAATACAATTTAAGCTTGCCAAAAAGGTTTGCAGTGGAGACAAAAAATGCAGAATGGCATTCTCTGTTCTTTTTTATTTTATTCGATTTTATTCTCATGCGGAAACATAGTGCAACTCGAAAGAAACACTGGAGATCGAGTGGCGGTGAAAAGGCTAGGTCACTGATGTGAATGCACTAATTTACTTTAAACATTGCCTAGATGCTGCCCGAATAATAACCGTTTGAGACTATACGTAGCCTCGTTTTGCGGTTAGATTGAACCGTTTACACTTTCCCCTTCTGTGCGTCCGATCATAGTCTGGGATGCTTTATACTTACTGACAAATATCATTTAATCTTGTTGCCTGCGTTTGGAGCTCCAGTGAAGTGGTTATTATGTATTCACCATGCCCATGGTGATGATGATTGTCGCATGATGACACATAAATGAATTTGATTTTCAGATTTTAGGCTAATTGGTGATAAATTTTCAAAACTTGAAAGATTTTGAGCCTTTTTTATATCATAATCTATGAAATAATTCTCTAAAATCGTTGCCATTCAAGTTAGATTACCATTTTACTTACGGCAATCTATTTAAAGTCGGGTATATTTATTGCCATAATTTTTTTATGGTATTTGGACTAACTTTCTTCTGAACTTTTTATACATCAAAACATCATTAATATTAGATATATCCATTATCGCAACCATTGCTCACCACCAAAATCAACAAATCAGCTCAAAAAACAACCACTATGGAATGAACAATAAGTGCGAAATGATCCCGTTTCTGATGAAAGGGAGGTTCTGATCAAAAGATTGAAGGCTAGATTGAGGTTGATTGAAGCCTCGCTGGTCTATCGCTTGTCTCAGGATTTAGATCAAGTTGCTTAAGCGTTTAGGGGCTCCCTATAGCAACCTGCATTATTGGTCATATTACATCGTTGAATAAATATGGAAATAAATAAAGATTCACTGTACCAAATTCAGCGTTGCTTCACTGTTGAAATAAAATGGTTTCACGTTTCTTCTAGTGGTGATCTCGTTTCGACGTTATTTTTATGTTTAATTTTGGTTGCTCAACATTTCGACCTGAAATCAACAAGCAATTGACGTTGTTTCAACGTCCGATGTCTGCTGAGATATCTTAAACTCAAATCCTATGTTTCTCATCCCTAAAGTTGTTTCTCAATGTTTCTCGTCCCCCTAAATGTTTCAAAGTTCTTGTACAACAGCGATTTAAATTTTATCCAATCTTCCACATTCTTCATTGCAATTATTGTCCACGTTAAGATTGAGGTGGTTGGAGGTGCGTGACTGCGCGTTGACTGAAGCGCAGCTGCTGGAGACGCTGGCGAAGCTGCAGCGCGCTGGCCTCAGGACGCTCTTCCGCGACCAGCTCATCCATGGAGGACCCAGCCGAGTGCTGACTATTCGGTAAATGAACTTAATATTTCCACTGAAATCCTAGAAAGTTAGGCCGGCGTAGTAGCACTAACTATACATAATTCATGCTTCGTGAAGTTCAGAACATGCAGACTCCCATGCATCTCAATCTAGCCTAACAAAATCCGGAGACCGCCTAGGCTTCGGCCGAACAGTCGCTACAATGGGCCCGAAGTTACTCTGGGCCTGCTTGGCCACCCGATCGATCGAAATCAGTTTCTGTCAGAATCTCCTATCCGATTTTAGAGTCGCATGAGAGTCAGATAAGGGTTGGCCGAGCCGAGTCATATCGAGTGAGCAAGCTGCTCAGAGGCTGCCCTTATATATAACCTTGAGCCGATTAGCGGACATAGAGAAGCTGATTTACGTGCTCTTCGAATTCTAGGTGGTTAATGAAGGGTTGCGCACACCTCTCAATTTTTGCAGGGTTAAACCCCCTTTTCTCATTTCTCGCGCAAAAAGCTATCAAGATAATAATGGGAATAAGCATGATTATTGGACGTTGGTAATTAGGCGTTCATTGGACAGGAGGGTTTTGCTAATTTTTCCACCTTGGTAGAACAACTGTCATTGTATTCATCTTGGTAAACTTGGTGCCATTTTTCCCCGCCTGATCAGAGAGAAAAACTTCGCGCTGATTCTCACCGATGAACCACCGCTGCTTCCCCAGGCTGAACCCACAAGGTTAGTACCGCCCGAGTCCGGAGCACATTTCTCGGAGTTGTAATAATGAACGAAAGTTTGATTAAATATGCATTATCAAAATCAATTAATACATTATTAATATTGTTAATTACAATTCAATTTAATTTAGAATTAATCCATATCAATTAATTAATTGATATTTATTGTATTGACTATATCATTATAGTCAACTAACGATAGATATTATATTGTATAATGAACCTCTTTTATAATGTATAATATATTGATTATACGTCATTGATTGATATATTATCAGTATCATTTAGCAAAAATTTGAGTTAAGAACAAACTTTATTGATGCATGAACCTTTTGTTGCACGCTTCACTGATATGATGCATCCAATGCGAAATGTGTAATTTGCTATATTAGAACCTTGAACGGTGACCTAAAAAATTTCTTTTGCAATTAAAATGACTGCTTTCACTTCTAACAGATGTGGTTGAAAATTAACTCATCCATCTATGCAAGTATCATCGGTACCATGCTCAACATACGACTCAACTTTCATTTGATCGTTTAGAGCTTGCTGGTGTGAAGTCGAGTAATAAGTTCTTTCAAGTCTTCGGATTATGTATCATAAATTTGAGTGACAACTCTCAAATTCGCCTTATAAAATTGCAGGTGTTTCACATCTTCACCTTTCAGGTCACCTGCCTTGCTCTCTGAGGCTCCCGCCGTCGGTGGAGAGAACCTCTGTCCGCTGGCCTCGTCATGCGGGGACCTGGACGCCGTGTACAGGAGTCTATACGCCCTCAACGTTGTGCTGCCGCACGCGCTACGCTTTGTCCTGAAGAAAATTTGCGCGCAGAAACCTTCACAAGCTACGCACGTGAAGTATTTTTTATCAAAGTGCCTGCCGGGCTTACAAAAATGGTTGTTTTTAAGAATCAGAAAGTCGTCTGTGAGGGAAGCTCTGGAAAAACGAGAATGCGAAAGTGCAGATTTCAGTCCGTTTGATTCTCTTCCTCTAATCCAGCTGGTTTTTGAACTTTTTGATATCAGATCTAGTGGATTGGTTGATACTCAAGATGGATTGAGAGATTGCAAAAAAGCTAACACTCTCGTGCAAGAAGTTAAAACGATCAGAGCTGAGGTTCATTCGAATATGTGCACTGATCCCTCCAGACTCGCGGGACTGCCCGATAGGATCACTGAGATCGCATACGAGCTGATCAGCGAGGCCGCTGAGCTGCACCGCGTGCCGGACGCTGAGGCTGAGCGGGTGAAGGAAGCTTGCCAGGCGCTCTGTGATAAATACTCTGATGTGCGCGTTGATGATGACGCTTTTGCTGCGTATTACGTAGTGAAGGAAAACTGGGAGTGGAGAGCCCTTTCTTCTCTAAAAAATGAATTTGCTGTAAGGAATGTCGTTCGTTGCACTTTGTATTCATGGGGTTTTACGCCATGTAATGAATTTTGCGCTGGGTCTGATACCGATTTTATCAAATTACAGTTTTTTACAGCAATTAACGGTAAAATTCCGTGCATCTTCATCCACTTTGAGTGTTGTGACTCAGAGAGCACAAATTTTTCTGACGTTGTCGAGCGAAACTTTCCTGCGTCTTGCAGCCAAATTGGAGCTCATAACGTTGAATATGTTTTAACGAAACTGAACCCTCTGATTTTCTTCAGTAGCTACGACGAAGCCAACGCCACGTCCAACGTTGTTGTCGAAGAAACGATCTACAAATTCTGCAAATATCCATTTGAGTTCGTAGTCACAACTCGGCCTAACTCAACAGCCTCACACAGCAATTTAATAAGAATTCCCCGATTAGGAGATGGACAGCTACTACCTTTTGCTTTGAAATATTATGAGAAGAAGTGGAGGAGAACGTTGTGAGTGCAGTTGCTTGCAGGCAAATTTTCTTGCACTTAATTATCTTTTATATGCAGTTTCGTACAATTCTGCTTCGTTAGCATAGCCGGTGGTTTTCATTTATCGTAATTGGTCACCAATTTTAAAAATTCAATAATTTTCATACGAATTTCGTTGATAAAACACTGCTGAGGATCATTATCCATTAAGTGGAATATTATAAAGTATAAGACTATAATTCAGTACATGAAAGTTGAACACGTGATCAAACATCACTAAGCAACAATACTTAAAGTATTTTATAAAACTATTCTGAAACATCGGCCGCCGTTATACCAAGGCAAAACAATGACTAATTTCTTTAAACATTAACTCTTTTTAATATCCTTTTCATATTGTTTACACAAACGGCATTGTTTAACGATTCCGAACTTGAAACTTCAAATATATACGCTAATTTTTCCATTCCATGGCTTCAGATCATGATTTTTTTATCATCTACTGTTGTACAAACCGATTAGAATTTCTGACAAGGGATATGAAAACTTTGTTCACTAAACAGGGATTATATTATAGTAAATACCAGCTGTTCACATGACCTACTGGCCGGTCGCCGTGCCCTGGAGCTGGTGCCATCCTGAGCTAAGCTAATGGCTTCTTTTGTTTTTTTTTTCAATTGCTGCCCTTTAATGATTAATTAATTAACTTAATTTATAATGATTATAATGATAACCTTTTATTCTTAAGGAACCCCGTCATATCCTATCACGGGTTGAACTCCCCACCATTTTCCTGGCATCTAAATTTTTGTTGTGTCTCCTCAACCACACGTCTCCCTCCTTAATTCTGACAAATGCGTGAGACTTGGTGCAGGATAGCGATACACTTCTTCCTTTTGAGTGGGTTTGCCCAATGCAGTTTGGCTCGGTATAAAGGCGTCTCAAAGCACTCTACTCATACTATGTATAAAAAAGTGCCACTATTCAAAACATATGACCCGTTCATTTCTTTAGTGTTTACCGTTTAGGGTTAGAACTAAATTAATGTAACACTAAATTAGTAACAGTACTTTTTCATTACTAGTGTTACTGACCCGCCTTATCGTTCTTCGGAAATGTAAATTGATGCACAACTGCCCTTATGCACAATGAATCTGGTAAGAACTGCGTAGCCAATATTCTCTATAAATGCATAATTCTATTGTTTTCTAAGGTGATAATGATCGTAAAAGTTCCCTTGATTTCCTGCGATACAGTTAAGAACTGCCTGTATGAATTAGAATGTTGTTAAAAATTTTTTCGATTTACTTAAGTGCTGTTAGGAACTGCTTCCAATGCATTCACCGCATTTAAAAATTGAACGTATTGATTAGTCTAATGCTGTTATTAACTGCCTCAATTTTCTGAAGTGCAGTTTGGAACTGCCAATATACTATTTATTTCTGTTAAGAACCGACATGGTTAACCGACTTGGTTAACTATTCACTGAAATAATAATAATAATAATAGCGGTTTCAGCGTTCATTAGGCCGTAGGCCTGTCGCCGATTCTTAACATCGTAGAATATTCACAGCTTGTTGCGGGTTTGAACTCGCAACTCACTGCTACAATTCTGCTTTGCTTAACCGCCCGGCCTCCTCGCCGATTCTGACCAGAAACTGGCGCACAGAGCTGGGATCGAACCCGCGCCTCTCTGCGCCAATCCTGGTACTCTGAACTGTAACCACTGGGCCACCCTGCCCAGTGGCTGAAATGCACTTGATAAAGGCCTCTTTTGTCTTCAATGCATTTAATTATGGACTGACTATATATGCTGTCATGTTGTTAATAAATGCCTTGATTTTCTAAAATGAAGTTAAAGAAAACTTTACCTTCATTTAGACTTTAACTTCATTTAGAAGATTTTCTAAAATGAAGCCAGAGAAGACTTACTTTCTCAGGTAAAAATGAGAAATTACCAATTAAATCATAGAGAAGTAGAGACATAGTACAGCACGACAATGTACAGTAAATTAAAGCGTATTGGTTAAGTAAAGTTACCGTTAGGTTGGCGCAGATACAGTGTAATTTCACTCGCATTGCTCAGCAAATGACTTCTTTCAGCACACTGCCTGTGCTTCTTCAGCAAGTTCTTCCCAGCTCAGGCAGGCTGTATCTTCTCACAGCTAAACTTCTTCCCCTTTTAGGCTACTTTTTCTATACAATCCTCCTTCTTTCTTGCATAAGCCAACATATTCACATATGCTCACCTCTTCCTCGTAAAGGCCATACAAACCTGCTTCCTTTTCTCGCGTAGGCATACTCCCTTCCTTAAAAAGGCTTACTCTCTTTCTTACATAGGACTGCTACCTTTCCTACACAGGCCTACTCATATTTTTTTGCATTGGCCTAATTTATTTTTATCGCATTATTTCTTCTCGCATAGGCCTACTCTGTTTTTTGAATAGGCCTAATCTCTTTCTTGCTAGGCCTACTCACTTTTCTCTCATAGACCTACTCGTTTTTTCTACCATAGGCCAACTTTTTTCTCGCAAAAGCTTACTACTTACTTCGCTAAGACCTGCTTCGTTCTTACATGGACGAGAAACAACTGTTCTATCACAAATAATCCCAGTTTTGCATCAAAAGCCCTACTAAACGCTTACATAGGCCTTTATTTTTGCGCATTAGCCGATTTATTTCTCTCGCAGCCTCACCGTATAGAAATTGCTGGTTCCTTTCCTAGCAGTTCTCGTGATCCGACTCACTTCGCCGACGTTATAAAATTCGTTTATGTGTACTTGCAATTCAAGCTGTCTGCTTGAATCGCAAGCTCACCAATAATTTAAAAGCAAAAAAGGCGCCAAAAGGATTGATAATATATTCTATGAGAACGTTTCGAAGACCAGCTCCATCCTCAGTTCAAAAATTGTATATAATACAATAAAATCGGAAATGAAAATAAAATTATTAATCAAAAATATTTAAACTTAAGTAACGAAAAAACGACAAACGGAACAAAAATTTATTGATTCACAATTTCAGGAGTATTTTAAGTTTCAATACCGACTGTATTTGTATTCCATGAAATTTTTGAGCTGGTGATGAGGTGAAACAGATGACAAAGTTTCACTGAAATTTTTCATTAAAACATTTTAATTTAATTCATTTTCGAAAAGTTTCATTGCAAATTTTCATTAATTTTCATTTCGATCATTTTTTTAAGTTTAATTGAAACTTTTTCATCGAAGATGTGGTGAATTTAATTGATGTTTTGTTTGCTTATGCTTTTTATTTAATGCTGTTCAAGTGTAGCATGTATGGCATGAGTGACACCGGAACACCGCCACGTTCAAGGTCCCAACTATATAGCAGCTAATGCTTATGTAGTTTATATAGCGTGCATGTGGATAATGTAGTCCTATGTGACCATGATTAGGATAAATCCTTGTAAAAGATATGTTTAATGCGAAGAAATAGCTTATTGTAAGATATTTGTTATATGATAGTTAAAATTGTGTGGGGTGAAGTGGGTACCGTAATAAACAGTCATGATAACAAGCCTGTGAATATATCCTTCAATGCGGTTCAACTTCCTTACGTCATGATGGCAACACACATCAATTAGCCATTGTACCGTAGTTAAATAATTTAAATACACTTCTTTATTTCCATATACGTGGTTAATCCATTCATAAAAAGCAAAAACTTGAAGTAGAGTTACCATAAGAATTGTTCGTAAAAAGCGTCACAAATGACGGTTTTGACGCCTACATAGGAAAATAAATTCATTTCCACAAGTCAAACAATGTTAAACTTTTAAACTGTATGCCCAGAGGTTCACACTCGTCACAGTAATATTTTACATGTAATTTCTTCTATATTATTTATTTAGAACTAATTTATTGAGTATTTTCCCCATATTCCGAAAATTGGAAGCAAAAGTTGTTTTGCATATGAGGTATTGAAACTGTTAGATTTACAAATACTGGTGAGCAAATTAGGCTAAGTGAATTCGTGCAAGAATTTAGTGGAAGAAATCAATGATGAAAAAGCTGACAACTTTTTTGGCTATTCTGTAAATTCAAGTACATAATCATAGAAACCACACTTGTCAATTATGAGATATTGAATTGAAACTTGAAGCAAAATTGGGAATGAAATTGGATAATGCTAAGAGAAAACTTATAAGCAGAAAGAAAAGAAACAATAACGTATATACCAGTCAACTTATGCAAATAGCTGTCAACTGCAGTTTTTTTCCAGAAAGTGACAACCAAAAATATTATTAGTTCACCCACTTTGCACAGTCTAAACTACATGGCACTCAAAGCCTCATATTGTAATTTTAGTAAGTTGCTTATTCAACCTATTGTCTCCTTCTTTAGATCATCAAGATTCATGCAGATGGTGGAGGTTGTTTATTGAGTCGATCTGAACAGTTATTGATAACTCCTCTTATCTCCTAATCTCTTATCGTTAACGTCACCACAGATAAGTTAGCCTCTCTGAGTATCGACTTCAGTCGAAACTAGTCTCTGGTGGTCAGACGTTGTCTCGTTGTGGTATTTTATGTTGTAAGTAGTTTATATTGTAGTAGTTTAGTTTCGAGAAGAATAACCGATGTTTCATAAAAAATTAAGTTTTGAAGTTGCCCTTATGTGCTACTGCCACACCCGTATCCGCTGTTTTCATGCACCATTTTCAAGCATTCCATTTGTGAACCACTCATTGATGGAAGTTTGAGATTGAGACTAAGCCAACAATTATCCTTACACGAAATTGGTCTTCTAAATTCTACTAAACTTGCACGGAAGTGCTAATGAGAATCTGGTATTTACAATGTCATTTCGCCTAATCTTAATACACCTATTGTAAAGACCTATCTTGAAAGTTGATACTGTCATTTTTAAAGATGATTATTTATTTACACGCTTTGTATCATCCCCGGGAAATTCACTATAAGCCATAAATTATAACAAGGCTGACGAAAAAAACGCGGCTCAGTTTGATCCAGCGATTTTGCTTCAATTCGCAGAATTTTTACTCGGATTACTGTGGTGAGTAAAGGAGATGTGACACTTTACCTATAATTTATGAAATTATAGCAATAATATTAATTACTGGTATGAATAGATCGATGGGTTTGCACAGCATTGAATCAATTACTTATGCAATTTAACCGTGAATTGTACTGTTAAATGATCTTTGCATTTATGGAATCATTTTGCTATCGAATATACAATACAAAAATTTCACAGGGAAAACGAAAAAAAAGGAGTGATTTGTTAATATAGATCAATTGACTAAATGAAACTGTAACATGAAATTAGGAAATGATAGAAACTTATAACGTTAGAAATCTGAGAATAAAAATATTCTAAGAGAAAAAAAGGAAAAAAATTAATATTTCTAAAAGAAATATTAAGTACACAATTAACATTTAAATTATATAAAGCAGAACCAATTAAGATTAGCTATCTTCTTCTTAGCTCAAAACTTATAATACATTTTACTTTCTTTCATTTTTTTCCGATTGTCGCTAAAATGGATACCAGATTAATTTATTTAATTTCTTTATTTAAAGTGGTTAGTTGCATTAACTATGAAAATCAGAAAAAATTTTACCTGCCTGCAATAGTAGGGATGAAGGAACAGAAGAAATTGAATAAATTTTTAAGGTAATTTTTGATGATGCTGATGATGATGAAATACATTGAGTACACTGTGCAGTTGGCATTTGAGGATATAGTTAATGAGAAATTATAAGCTCCAGCAGTTCGTATTTTGAACGGTTTAATCAGGTTCAAAGCTTCATGTCATACTTTACTCGCGACATTGCTGCGACATTGGAAAAATTGCTCACTGGTTAATCGAAGTTGGTCAGAAAACGAAAATAAAGTCAAACATGTATTCTACGGATTATTGTTTAGTTCAACGATCTCCAGGAAGAAAAATTTTGGAATTACTAGCCAAGTTAGGCCTTCCAGAAAGATGGAAGACGTTGTCTTCCAACTTTTTTTTCAGACGTTGTCTGGAAAGAACTTTGAAGCTTTTCGAATTCGGAAAATTCAATAGGTATCTCAATTTCCTCCTGCTCATTTTATAAGACTGTTGTTAATACAATCGTCTTGAGTATAATAATTGATAGTACACCAATCTCTCCAATGAGAGGTCCTCCACGTATTGGGTGCACTTAGTGAGCTCTAGAAAAAACGTATCATTTGAGTAATAAAATTCATGCAAATATCTCCTATTCAATCTACGAAAATATAGTCGCTTGTAAAATTGGGTGAAGTTACAATCAATACATGTTAAAAATTTTATTCAATTTATGGAAAAGATGCATGAGTTTATAAGACGACTTCGATAGAAGCAACGAGAAATTTAACTAAAAATTTCCAATAAATTAACATTTTCAATCAATCTAATAAAATATATGATCGTAAAGAAATAGGAAAACCTAATTTTCTCTAATTTTCAAGCAAAAACGCCTATTGTATTACAGGATTGCTTAATTTTTTTCAGTATAGTCACTGCATGACGAATTCCTCGAAAATGTGCATATGTATGTCTATTTATAATGTGAGCAAATTGAAGTTAAAATAAAATTCGCACAAAATAATGCGACAGTAGAAAAATTCATTGCAAGGATACATATGTTTTTTCTGGATGGACAACCATTGAAAATAATTCACATTGAAGAATATATAGATAAGAATTGCTACTACACCAATATAACAAACGAGAGGTTCTATGGATTTTGGGTGTTGATTAGGAAAAAGTATAATTTCAGTAATGGAAAACTTGGAAATATCTCCAGTTCGATTGGTAAAAACTCATCTCATTTCAAAATCAATTGGAATGTGAAATTTCAGTAAATGATATTGTTATAAATCAGTAGTTCCCAAAGTGGGAACTACTGACCAAAGTGGGAACTTAAAATAATTTTTATTTAAAATTTGCGTCAACTCAAAACACATGGAAGTATCCGATGTGTAGTATCCTCAGCTCAGGTAAATTGTGCTGACACATGTTGTTATCACAGGTGAATTCAGATTAATGTGTTTGGAAAAATCAGATACAAGATCAATTCAGGAATTTCATAGCTAAATAAATACAACAGATGCAACTAAATATGCTGATAATAGCTCAACCTGGGTACTAATGATTAATGAGTTGCTCTGCTCATTGATTAAATCAACTGGTTAGACATTTTATAATTAAAAGACAACTGTGCTGGTATGCACTATCTAAAAACTACTTAAAAGATAATTTTATTAAAATCGAAAGCTTCCAATGACCGCTGCATGCAACAGTTATTGCAGGCCACTTCGAGGAGAGAAACCTTCAGAGGACGAGCTTGGTAAGTACGGAAAATCAGTCTTTCAAGCATAATGGTACTGGAACCAAAACTATCACCATATGCCATATCATTAAAACTATAATTTAAATCAACCAATTTTCCTGATTTTTCATTATACTACACTCTAAATATTTTTGGCTTTTTTAAACAATAATATGATGAATATTACAAATGTTTCCAAACAACGGCATTATTTTCCATCATCATTTGTCCGAAAAAAATTATAAGTTGTATATTTAAACATATTTTTTAAAATTTCAGATAAATAAGCGTCCCACACCAGCCAGCTGGAATGGCTGCCATCACACAGACCATCTCGTTACTCCCAGGAATTGAACTTTCTCCCCTGGAAGCCAACAGATGCAGGAACAATTTTGCCGTCCAAGTTCCCATGTGTAAAGTTTTTCGAACCGTTCTAGAATGGGAATGCAGCGACAGACAGCTTGGGCAAACATATGCAGACTACTTTGAACAAAAGAAGCAGCAATATGAAGACCGCCATACTGCCCTGGCGGCACAGAAGTGCAATAAATTCAAACTCCCAAAGATTGGACTACCCCTAAATACAATGAAAAAGCTACAGGAAGAACCATCAAAATATGACGTAACTCTAATGTGTTCTTTTTTGTGCGAGATATTCAAATCAAAAGTATCATACACACTCATTGGCCATGAGAGAAGTCTCAGTCAACTAGAGTGCCTTCTTAAAACAGCTAAGAACATGAGGAATGACGTCATGCATGAAGTCGCTGACGATTCAGTCAGCCCTCTGAAATTTGATGAAATCGTCAAAGCCATGCATGATGTGATAGACGAAGCTGGCAACGTGTACTGCATCCCTGCTGATGAAGTCACAAGTTTCAAAACCCAGATAGATGGCATGTGGGATGAAGTGCGCACTGACAAAGAAAAAGCTAAGGCTTATTGTTGCTCATTTCTTCAAAATTTTGGAAACGAAGAAGCCAAAGTCATGTGGGAGGCGATGTTGTCTGAAGATACTCTTCTCTTCGGCGAAGATAAAGTTGAACGCTCTAAAGTTTTCCATTCCCTGGAACTGACGATACAGAAACCTGGTCTACAAGCAGGCAGGATCTCATACAAAGAACTACTCTCTGACACTGACAAGAGATTCATTTTAGTCAGTGGTGTGTCTGGATCTGGTAAATCTACTCTGCTGAAGAACTTGGTGATACAGTTCCATGGCATATCGGATGCAGATGTAGAGATGATAAATTTGAAGACTTTCAATTTGATACTTATATATGAGTGTAGAAACAGGTCCATTGAAGAATTCAGCGTAGTAGTACAACAGAATTTTGAGAATGTTTGTCTGAAACTCGGCACAGAAACTGTTGTACAGACAATCATCCATTCAAACCCTATAATTCTTGTTGATGGCTATGATGAATGCCATAAAGATGCGTTTAAAGTTGTGGATCAGTTGGTGGATAAAATGAAAAACCATGAATGCCGGGTGATCATAACTACCAGGCCAAGCCATTTTGAAGAGCTAAAGAACCATTTGAAACAAAAACTCTTGGTGTTTCAGGACTATGAGATTTCTGAAATTTCTGACATAGAAGATCAAAAGACATTTCTGGAAAAGTATGAAAAGCATGCCAATCGGCATGCTCATGAAGTTGTGAAGACCTTCAGCTCCCTTGAACGGAATATCCAAGAACTTTTTGTCCATCCCATTTATCTGGTACTCTTCTGCCAATTGGTCTGGAATTTTCCTGAAAGAATTTATAATTGGACATCCCATGCTGAGGTAGCTCATGACATTTATCGTCTGTACAAGAAAATGGTCGATTCGAAACTGGCTTCCTACTCCATTGTCGACAAAGACGGTCTGGTCAACGACTTATTCCGGGATGTTGCCAAGTTCTCCTTTCAGACCATTGCTGAAAACCAATTGGTTTTCTCAGAAGACCAAGTTGGTGAGTTGAAGAGTAGTTTTAGGAAAACACTCGGGGAGTATGGAGCCCGCGGCGAACTTGATCCCAAAGCTCTTGTGGGGGTCGTCCTGAAAATGAAGAGGCATCTGAATGATTTTGATTCCTGTACGTACTTCTTTCATCACAAAAGCATTCAAGAACTGTTTGCCTCTAAGACTGTCATTAAGGAACTCCGTAAGAATAACTGCTTGTCATCTGACTTGCATGGCGTATCGCGTGTGAGTCAAAAGTGAGTTGTAAATTTCGCAATGTTTGTACATTTCTATTTTGATTTCTGTGAATAATTTAAGTAAGACGAATAAATGGAGGAAGATTACTGAAAATTATTTGTTCATTTTACAACAACTCAAATATTTATTGCTAGAACTGCATTTTTTAAGAAAATAAAGGAGGCTCTTCTTAAGATTGCCCTGTAAAGCGAAAAGATAGGGTACACAGTTCCTGAATCATTTCTGATATGCTTAAATATACAAGGCTTAATGTTTAAATATATAAGGCTAACATCTACTAGGTAAATAGGTGGTTACAGTTCAGAGTACCAGGATTGGAGCAGAGAGGCGCGGGTTCGATCCCAGCTCTGTGCGTCAGTTTCTGGTCAGAATCGGCGAGGAGGCCGGGCGGTTTATGCAAAACATAATTGGAGCAGTAAGTTACGGCTTAGAGAGCGCAACAAGCTGTGAATGTTCTGCGATGCTAAGAATCGCTGACAGGCCTACAGCCTAATAAACGCTGAAACCGCTGTATCATTCATATTGTATTATATTATTACATACCTATAAATTGAACAAAGCAATGAACAAATCATCATTTAGTTCCAACAGTTTGCAGGGTGTGCTGGCATACGTTCTAATTGAGCTGAGTGCTGTTGAGAACTCAAATGTCTTCAAACGTCACTGGCGTCGCCTGAAGGACGCTGCAAAAGCGGTAGGAGCTGACAAGAAGTTCTGGCAGCAAGTCCTGCTCAGCAGCCCCCACTCCCAGCCAGTGGCCAAAGAGACTGCCAGAGCCTACATGGCCCACAACAAGGACTGGAACATTGGTTCAGGTAACAGAGACTGCCAGAGTCTACATGGCCCACAACAAGGACTGGAAAATTGGTTCAGGTAACAGAGACGGCCAGAGCGCCTACATGGACCACAACAAGGACTGGAACATTGGTTCACGTAACAGAGACTGCCAGAGCCTACATGGACCACAACAAGCACTGGAACATTGGTTCAGGTAATAGAGACTTCCAGAGTCTACATGGACCACAACAAGGACTGGAACATTGGTTCAGGTAAAAGCAGGCGGTGCTCAGTAAGGGCTGCGTGACGGCAGGACAGAGCACACCTGGGCAGGTACTCAGAAGCTAATTAGCGCTGATACGCGGCTGGCGATATCGTCTCTAAAGCGGACATTTCTGCTCTATCGCTGCTCTGTCGCGTCTCTACGCCGGCTCTGCAGCCGGCGACGGCCTGCTCTATTCCCTGCCCTAAATTTTAACTGGGGCGACGGCCTGCTCTATTCCCTGCCCTAAATTTTAACTGGGAACAAGGACTGGAACATTGGCTCAGGTAAAGAGTGAATCTCATGATACTTAGTCTAGTTAATTACCATTTATATCGGACTTTCATGAATCAGATTGTGCACTGTTGAATCTATTCATGGGTTTGGCAGACTTTAGCCTTGAGCGCAGGCCTATAATGTGTGTCCAAGCTACTTCGCTAACCAAGCCAATGATTCAGTTATGCTTTATTTTGTTTCAGTTTTTGCTCGCATTTAAAGGCATTAAATTTGATGAATTTTCCACTCACGCCACCGATACATCGATTTAAATAGCGACAATTTTCTTAATGCATCATCAGCTTAAAAAAAAGATGAACACATTGCCGATTCTGAACTTTGAAAACAAGAAGCACCAGAAGTATAATCTGGAATCTCGAACGCCCTGTCGTTTACTCTCCCTATTGTCAACGTGCGTACAGCTGAATGAGGTGAGCGCACCTGATAATCACCACCACGATAACTTCTGCCCTGATGCTCAGCTACAATAATGTAGAAGCTATGGTGCATCTTTGCCAAAATTAAGTATTCGATGCACACTCTGCACAACTGTATTTTTTAACCAGAGAAGATAGAATATTGACAGGAAAGAATGATTATATGCTTGAAGAAAAACCACATAAAATATATTGAACAGTAACACGTGTTATTTTGTCATCCGCTAGGTACGTACATCAGGGTTAAAACTTTCGCTTTTTCTGCTATAATTTCGGATTCAAAGAAACTTTTGAGAACATTTCATGTAAGAAAAGCTGAAACTGGGATCTTCATCGTAAAATTTACTCGAAAAGGCACTAACCACATCAAAGTAAAATGTTTATTCGTGCCATGTATTTTTTGTTACATTTGTTTCCAGTTTTTGTTGAGCTGCTTCACTTTCATCCAGGTCGCGATGCTGACACAGTTGCGCTGCTGCTGCTCCACCAGCAGCCTGCAACGCTCTGCGTCAGCCTCCTAGAGGCCCCAGCGCCCGAGTCTTGGCGCCAGGTTGCTCAAACATTCAAAAGGGTTTTGGAGCTGCGACTGTTGAGTGAAGGCAACGACACACAACCATGTGACCACATGCTGGTAGCCTTGAGCTCTTCAAGGTGCTATGTTGTAGGGGTTTTTACAAATGGAAACATTTTAGTAACAATCATACTGTCATTCAGGGCAATAACTTTGCCTACTTCATTAATAGGTGGAATTCTTGATCAATCACAGTATAGTATAGTATTTTCGGCGTTGAAGAATAGGCCTGGATAGACCTGTCGCCAATTCTTGTACTTTACTTGACTAGTTCACAGATCTAAAAGACTGGCCTTTTGATCAAATATTTTCAACGGGCGGTGGTTTGAAATCGTTTCTAGACTTTCAGTTCTTCCGTAGGGTACTACGCATTTCAAGACTAAACAGATCACATAGTCTGTTCTTGTAGAAGTTTATATGCAATTAACCATACTGACCAATTTTGTTCTCGTGCAGCTGCTCGTTGTCAATATTTATTGGCCGCGTTAAGAACGCAAGCAGTATTCGATCTCTGGCCAGAATTGCATCATCCGAAACTGAGCTCACCATTTACACGGATCCACACGTGGACTTGAAGCCGTTGCAAGACAAACACCTAGAGCTCTGTGAGAGTACTGACTTAGAAAAACAAATTACGTTTTCACACAAAATTTCATTACTCTCAACATTTATTGTTCAGGAGCTTTGCTATTTTTAGATGTTTTCTACTTACGGAGCTACTGATTCTGACCTTCACCTTTCCAGTGGTGGTCCAGTACTGGTGTACCACTCTTCTTAAATTAGAACTGGTTTATTGTAATCTGATATGACACCAGTATGTATGGGACAATGATGAAGATGGACTTATTTAGCAAGTGATTTCGGCTAATTTTGAGGGTGCAATATGGTTACCTTTAAATAGGGTGTTTTTTGATGCAGGGATAATGTATATTTGATACTACGTATACTATACATATTATGTTAGATATAATCAATCGGATTATTTCTTGAAAATTCTATGATATTATTCGAATGATTAACTTTCTGAGAATTTTAGTAGCGATTTCTCGCAGGTGTCGTGAAGTGTGTTGACCAAGTTAAGTTTCAAGCCGAAAATACCTACACATCTCTTAATCGTCGAACCTGATTTGTGATCTTCAATGTTTAATAGAGGCTCGATTTTTTATGACTTTAATCATTCGATTGTTTCTAATGTTAATCACCTTACAGGGGTGATTGTGGAACCCACATCTGAAGGAGACTTCGTTGCTCTGCCATCGTCTGTCCACTTATGTCTGCGGGTGAAGCCTGTCGCCCGAGACCAGCAAGAGAGTTTGACTCGCACCATACTTGGCCTGGCTCCTGCAGACAACAGGTGGAGATCTGCAAATAACATTGATGGAAGACATATTTTTCCTTAATTATCGTGAACAAAAATCTACCTGGATGCCCATAGAGCTCTAATCCCTTGGTATGTGCAAAAATCATGCGAAATTGGGATATTAAACAATTTATAACCTCCTTATGAGTCTTGTGAACGAATAATGCTTATTGAATTGGAGCACATGTAGCCCCAAATGTGTACTTCTACCTAAGATTTTCGGCTGAGTTGTGGCGAACACACTTAATTGTTTCACGCTCGGAAGTTCAATGAGGCTTGCAAACTGTAGTTCATAAAATCGATTAGGTTCTCCTTATAAAGTTACATGATTATACCTACACTTATGAAACTTGACTCACAATAACATATACAACTCACAAGAAAATTGTGATGCTCTACCAGGTATATGAACACAATATTTTCTGATTTTCAAATAATATTGATAACATTATATGGATAAAAAATGATGTTGTTGAACATTTAAACATAGTGAATGATCTTGGCGCATTTTATGACATTTTCTTTCATAGAAAGCATTCAATTTTGTCTTTTTTTTCCCAATTTACTGTAAATTACTGCAACAAGGTTACAGTTTAAATACATAATTAGTGCGCGTCCTATTGTTAATAGAATAAGACATACTAGAATTTCAATTTTTTGGTTAGAATAATTTAATTGCATATTAAGCAACATTCGTTCGCCTTCTTCTCCAGCTCGTCTTTAAGTTCTAAATCACTAAAAATTTGAGTTCTAAACTATAACTTTGGCCAAATCTAATCTAAAACTTCGAATTTGTGAAGTAACCTCTCACTTCAGGTTTCAGAGGCTGGAGGTGCGCGACTGTGATTTGACTGAAGCGCAGTTGCTGGAGACGCTGGGGGAGCTGCAACGCGAGGGCCTTAGGACGCTCTTCCGGGACAGGAAAATTCATGCGGGGCCTAGCAGAGTGCTGACAATTCGGTAAATAAACTAAATCTGTTCACTTTGATGATTTAGATCAACTTGGTTTATTAGCTCAGCCTTGACTAACTTTTAATGTTCAATACGCAGCATAACTTCCTATTGCGCTCAAATTAAATATTCACAGCTTGGCAAATGACGTTCGGCTCATCATTTGCAATTTTGAGTTCGCTGCTTCAGAGGCAAAATTAAAAAAATACCGATTACCAATACGCCCAAAATACCATTTCGATAGCATAAGCAAATTGAACCACAAGCACATGAATGTAAAACGTCAATTATCTGCTTGGCTACACGATTTATGTATTGAACTATATTCTTGATTAGGATTAGATTTTTTTAGAATTGGTTTTAAGACTTGTGGTGTACCAAGCACCTGCCAGCCTGTTCCCTGTCAGAGAGAAAGAGCAGAGCACCAAACTTGGTACTTTTGCTGTTTAGAGTACTGCTTCTGGTGCCAATTTGTAAGTTTGAACGGAACTGCAGCAGGCCTCACTTGTTGAAGTTTCTCATGTTAGGAGACTGAACCTGAGGGAAAATTAGACAGAACAAAATTCGGATACTACGATGTTTCAACCTGGTTGGAGGGTTGACAGGTTAGCATTGTATGAAGAGCTGGTGTTAAAATTTCTTCAGTTCTGATAAAAAGTTATGTAATATGAAGTAAATTTGGTTCTTTTGTGCATTAGTGAACAGGCAAAATTTATTTCCTTGTCTGAATAGCTTCAATTTTCTTTATCAAGTTAAGTAGCCTGAACATTTCCTCCACCCATCAGAGAGAAGAATTTTGCGCTAATTCTCACTGATGAGCCGCCGCTGCCACCTCAGGCAGGAACCTGCAGGTTAGTTAATATATGTAGACTCCGGCGCTCTATATAAAATTTTGTCAACAAGTATTCAAAAAGATGGGAAAATATTAAGTTATTCTCTAGCTTAGTCTGTGTTTATGTATTTATTACAAATTATACTAAGCTGGACTAGTTTTTTTTTTCTTGTTTCACCTAATAATGTTGTTTCCATCCTCAAACATCAAGTCATTTCGCCGCAATTCAAATGCCTTTTTTAATGTTATGCTTTTATTGAAGCGACCAATTTTGTCGTTAAGATGATATTTTGCTTGTTAATATTCGGATGGAATTCAATTTTTTTAAATTGCAGGCCTGTCGCCGCAACGCGTCTCAAGTCACCCGCCAGTCTCCCCGTTGCCCCCGCCGTCGGTGGAGAGAACCTCTGTCCGCTGGCCTCGTCATGCGGGGACCTGGACGCCGTGTACAGGAGTCTGTACGCCCTGAACGTTGTGCTGCCGCTCGCGTTGCGCTTTGTCTTTGAGAAAGAATTCGCAGGCAAACGTCCACAAGACACGTACGCGGAGCATTTGTTATTGAATTGCCAACCTGTCTATCGCCCATGGTTGGTTTCCAGAATCGAAAAATCTCTTGCGAGCGAGGATTTTACCAAACGTGAATTTGAGGAAATTGATTTACGTCCATTCGACTCCTATCATCTAATACAGCTCATATATGAGCTTCTGGATACGATGTCAAATCGAATCTTTAATGAATTTAATGGAGAGAGAAATTATAGGAACATGATCGCCATTTTGGCGAATGTTCAGAGAGCCAGAGTTGATGTGTACTCGAGCCTGCTTGATGCATCTAAACTTGTCATGTGCCCAGAAGGCGTCATTAACTTTGTCTTTGAGTTGATCAGCGAGGCCGCTAACCTGTACCAAGTGTCAGAAGCTGAAACGGAGCAGGTAAAAGAAGCTTGTCATTCACTCAGTGATATGTACAAGTCTGCTGTTCGCATCGATGATGACGCTTTTGCAGCTTTTCGCGTTCTGCGTGAGAATAGAGAGAGAATGACCGGCCTAGCTTCCAAAATTAAATTCGATGGTAGAGATATCTGGTTGCACAAATTCCCCCCAGTAATTTGTACCGAACAATTTTTGTGTTCGAATGTAGGGCGTCTCTATCCAAGTGAACATGATTTCAATCAAAACAGACACTGGGAGATCATTTATGGTGAATATAAAGGAGTTTTCATCTACTACAAATGCCGGGATAGGGAAACCAAAAGTTTTCGTTACTACATCGAACAAAACTTCCCTGAGGCTTGCAACAAAATTGGAGCTGACAACGTTGAATACGTTTTAACGAAACTACTACCTCTGATCCTCGTCGATGGCTATGACGAAGCCAACGCAATGTCCTGCGTTGTAGTGGAAGAAATTATCAACAAATTCTCCAAATTTCCAAGCGAGCTTGTTACGACAACCCGGCCGGACGCTGCCTTTTCAAAAAGAAAACTCTTAAGAAAGGCCAGAAATTCAGAAACGCATATTCTACCTTTCAGGTTGAAATATCTTGAGAAGACACTACTCTGGTCAAACCCAGATAATCGCTATGTTCTTCGCCCGAATACCTTCGTAACCTTTCCCGTGCAATCTGGCCCAATCGAATTTAGCATAGCTGAATAGGCTCGCCTCTCTCACCGTAAAGGTATGTTAGGCGTACATCGGCCACCTGTTGAAATAGGCCGCTAACTAATGAGTTTAATTTGGAAGTCACTTGTCCATTGGGCCAATGTACCAAATGATAACCGGCATGAGCTGCTAATTGTCAGGCTGTTCGCGTGATCAGGCTCTGATCACGCGAACCATGACTATCTCCGGCTTAAGAACGGCGTCGTAACTTTTCTATGTTTTACTTATAAATGAAGAGGTCATACAGACCAAATAGTGAAACTTTCTGCATGTAGCACTAATACGCCCTTCTGCTTTTTAAAACTAGTTCAGATTGGCTCAATAAAAGGCAAGGAGTGCATCGTTATTTGGACAAAATCTCTTATTTTTTTTTTGAGTGTATACAATGAAACAATATGAGATTTGACTTTAGTAATTGTTGAGTAATTTTAATTTACCATTTAGCGTATTCATTATGTATTGTGTGTAAGGCTTAACAGGCAACGAAAGGGTTTTAGATATAAAATGTGGTGCAAATTGGGATTACTAGTAATCGCATTTATTATTTTAAATATTTTAATAAATGCCACCACTATGGTGTAGTTGATAAGTGCCTTTATATACGATAATGCAGACAAGAAATATGTCCTTAAACTCTACTGTAGAAGAGAACTTTTTATTAACTATAATTCGGTTCTAAACCGAGATGTTCAATATATTGTTACCAATGCAGGCTATTTACAACAATGTGGGGAAAACCGTTATTTTTTATAGCATGATTTTCAAGAGATTCTTGATATAGTGTACTGTAATATAGATTTTAAATCTTTACATTTGTCAATGTTAGTACTTCTGCTTCTAAATAATAGAGGAGGCTTAATTTACCATAAATCAGTATTTTGCTTATCCATAATGCATTTGAAAGCAGCCAATATTTATATGGTTAACAGCTGCTTTAATTCACTACATTCAAAATGTGGGTGAGAATTTGCATCATTTTTTATAATTCGGTTTATAACTGTCTCTATATTTAATGCCCTTAAGAATGGCCTCGATATATTTGTATGTAGTATGTTGAACATATTATAATTTATTAGTAAATAAAATAAAACTTCACTATTCTTATGTAGTTCTGAACAGCCTTAATTTAATGGAAAGCATTGTTGAGCTGAAACGAAAAACGAAAGAATTGATGTTAATGCAAACCTAAAAATATTAATGTGAGTAAATCTTTTCACTATAATAACTGAGCTGAAGGATACGTAATGGCTCGCTGTTGCTCTGGCCTCACTACAAAGAAATAATTAGTCTATTGTTGACAGCGTATTTCACCAAATCACGGAGCGTATCAATTGCAGTATAACAGTACATTAAATCACATAGTGAAAGCCTCTAAGAGACTATTTCAGTTTCTTCCTCATAAGTTTTGATGAAATAGACTTAAAACTTCCGAAATTTGTACCAAAATTCCAGGCTTATACTACTTTTATATTGCTACAGGCTTGTATTGCTAAATTAAAAATCTTAAGGTTTGTATTGCTACTTGTTTTTGACTATGAAGATAAATTACGCTACCAAATTCCACCAAAGTTGAAAAATCTAACAAAAGTTGAAAAATTCGACTACAGTTGAAATAAATCTTAAACATAAAGTTAATTTAGTGTTAATATAAATGGTCACAAAAAATTTTAAAGTTTATTGATCTTGCAATAATTTAAAAAAATTTCTGAAATCAGCGCCAAATAATTTATTCAATTGCAAAATTGCAAAACTCTCCGAATGGATTTTGAATTGATATCCAAATAGATATCTGTTGGTAACTTCATTGATTTCATGTCCTTGTGATACGACCTGAATAACCGTACTGCAAGTTACGGCTCCTAGTGATGTATATATACCATATACCATATATATGGTATATGTACATGATATATGGTTAGAATATACATCACTAGGAGCCGTAACTTGATCTACGGTTATTCAGGTAGTGTCACAAGGACATGACATATAAGTTGCCATTACAACGCAGGTGCTGTAATGGCAACGGTAAAATTGCAGCAGAAAGGCAGATATTGCAATGAAAACTCTGACGTTGCACTAGCAACGCAGGTTCTGTTATGACAACGCGACAGTGGGAGTAGCTACGCATGGGTTGTAATTGCAAAACCGTTGTTTTGAATTAAACATCCCGGTGTTATATCAAAATTTCTGTAATGTGAACGTTGTTTAATAATTTAAATGTGAATGAGCAGTAGAGTTATATGAGAGGCGCTTTTTTTCGTTTATTTCAAACCAAAAAGAAGTGTTGCGGTTATTTCCCGTCTGGAGTCTAGACGAGTTTCCATCACCGCCTGGACTTCTATCCGCCTGGAATCTAGACGAGTTTCCATGATTTGCGCGCCACTGGAAAGCTTGCCATACAAAGGGTCGTTTGGAAAATCGTGGTAAAGAAATAAATTATGATGGCTTCAGTTGTGTCATAAGTCATAGCATCTGATCCTTTAGGACGTCTGCAGGTACGTGTTTTATTACTATTATTATATAAAATACATCTTACGTTATCAGTATGCAAAAAGTTGCATTCAAAGTTGAAGAATAATACCGCGAATTTCCACAAATTGTAATTTTTCGTTACTAACTAAACGTTCCTTGGAAATAAGAAAGCTATAGAGTACCAGGAAACGAAGTACCATTTGTTTCAAGTATGACTGAAAGTCTACTAGCTGCCCATTCATCCATGGCCGACCTAACTAATACAACTTGCAGGCAAAAAATCTAAATTGGAAAACATGAGCCCTCGTATATCGTGGAATAGCAGACTCATTGTATAAAAAATCTCCGTATAACTTTATTTGGCTTAGCCAGCGAAGGGAGTAAAAACATGTCCAGTTTTTTGGGTTTTTACTTTCGTGTAATTCTCACACACACTGTGGATCTGAAGATGAGGATGGTACAAAGGAATAAAAAATCTAACAAAATAAAGTAGTTTGAAGTGAACAATATTTCATATAAGATCACTTCAATAATTGGTCACAATAAGAGTGACTTGAAAATTGATCACAACATTACACACTTACGTGTGTGCTCGGACTGATATTTTTTAATCCTGAATGTGAAATTTATCAGCGACAAATTTCTTTCTCTATGGGCTCTAAGCGTGCAATATTTATCAATAAGTTGAGTGACTGCGCGTGATGAAGATAAAGTAAACAAACAAATAAGACTATATGTAAGGCACTATAGTATAAGACTAATATAATGTAATAAGACTATGTATACGTAAAACAGAATCAAGATAACGCTAAATTCATGTTGAGAAGTCAGAATTCAAAAGTGAAAGAGGGATGACATCACTGGGCAGGGTAGCCCAGTGGTTACAGTTCAGAGTACCAAGATTGGAGCAGAGAGGCGCGGGTTCGATCCCAGCTCTGTGCGCCAGTTTCTGGTCAGAATCGGCAAGGAGGCCGGGCGGTTAAGCACAGCAGAATTGTAGCAGTGAGTTGCGAGTTCGAGACCGCAACAAGCTGTGAATGTTTCAGCGATGCTAAGAATCGGCGACAGGCCTACGGCCTAATAAACGCTGAAACCGCTATATTATTTTATATTATAAACGCAACCGAGCCGTCGCTTGTGTTGTGTGGACTGAGGAATAATCGCCGTGCGAGATGTGGCGGCTAGTTGAATGTTGTTGCCATCAGGTGTATGAGGAAAAAATACATATAGTGAGCTTAATACTAAAGACAGATAAAAATTTACCTATAATAATAAATTATAAAAGAAAATTCTTTAGTCACTTCATCCAAGACGGCTAAGACACACCTATCCAAAATTATTATCTCTTATTTCCCAACTCATACGAGGCAATTATCACAACTTTTACGTTGAGCCGGCCTAGATAGATTTATTATCTTCATATTCCCGTCGAAATTCGACGAATTTAAGCAAGTGATTTGTATATTTCTATCAAAGTAACTAATAGGAGCCTTGCTATTTTAAATTCAATTCACATGCAAGGACATTGCTAACTAGTGCATGAACGCTTTGATTATTGAGTACACTGTACACACTGTGTGTTATGACCAGGGTATTAATTTGATACCTGCGCACTGCCCAATAAATGAGAGTTAATTTTTAATATTGATACAACACTGCAGCCCACTAATCCGGTACATTTAATCCTGTAAATGATTACGAAAGAAGAGATATTATAATACTCACTTACATTCTGATGACTCTAGGAATACATGTACGAAATTTATTATTAAAAGAAAACTCAGCTGTAAGGGTAACACTTGCTTTAGCTACTGATGGTTATATATGTATTGTTTTCACAACACACAATAACTTAATTAACCGATAACTTGATCCTGCATGTGTGGCTCCACTTATCGCGTCTGAAAGTTTATAAGCCACACCAACAGACAGAAGCCTCCAGTTCACGAGTGCAAGGAGCCTGTATTTATCGGCATTCTCTTTTTGGTGTTACTCATTCGTACCCAGTGGTACTCGTAATAAGTTATGTCGTTCAAGGAGCAGGAATAACGTTTATTAAACGTTATTAAAACGTTTATTGGACGTTATTCCAACGCATGTTAAGCGTTATTGCAACGTTTAATAAACGTTGTGTCTGACGTCCGAGGACTGCTCCCTGATCTAATATGCTAAGTGCAATCCATTATGAGAAGAGTACGATGCGTGAAAAGTATAGTTGGCTATATAGTTAATAATATTCATAATTATAGAGAATAATAATATAATATAGCTTCAAAAAATGTATCTATAGTCACTCCATCGATATACTATGATCGATGCAAATCCATCGACATAGAATGAAATTCAAATCTGTAATGATGGAGCTTTCGTTGCAGCAAGTCTGGGTGAAACGAAAAAAAAAAATAGTTACACAAGCAGAAAAAGTGAAAATAAGCAGGAAAAGTTCCAAATAAAAATTACAAGTGTCCAATTGAGGATGAAAATAACGTGTCAAGTCTTAGCTCTTATTTTTACTTACGTAAAATTTTTGATCAACAGTGAAAAGAGCTTCAAATTTTACTCAGTTGTAGGTGAAATATGAATGCGGAAAAAATTTATTCCAGCAGCCGGATACTTAATAATTTAAGTGAAGTGCAACAATAGAAGTCAACTATAATTTGTAACTTCTGGATTCCTCCGGCCAAACTGATTGTAAATCGAAAAATATGTTTCATTTTTTTTAAAACCGAGATGAAAAATTTGAGCCAATTTAATAAATTCAGAGATCTAAATGTGTAGCTCTGGATTTCAAGGATGAATATTTATTTTGGTGGTGAAAAGCGAGCTTGCTACTCGCGGCTATAGACCATGAGCTCGGCAGCTTCTAGGTAGTTGGCAGGGTCTGCGGTCCTGCGGTAGACCATTAAATCGGTGGCCTCAAGGTAGTTTGCAAGGATTGCACTCTGTTATGGTCTGCTGTAGGCCATCAGCTCGGTGGCTTCTAAGTAGTCTCCAGGGTCAGCGGTCCTCTGAAGGCTTATGAAGCGACCCAGCACCGGGGAGGTGAGGTTCTTGGTGACCCAGGTCGCTGGTACTGGAGCAGGTCCAGGGAACAGCGCCAGTAGCGTGTACGAGCTAAAGTCTGGGCCAGTGACATCGGACAGCCCTGCGCGAATCTGTCAAGAATCAATTCAGAAGAAAACTATTGACTGTAAGTAGCTTGAATGTGTAAATCGAGAAGGCTGAAGAACATTAATTCCCTTCATTCCCCATGTGTAATCCCTTCATTCAAACACGACTTTGAATATTGTGTAACTGCAGGCCATCAACAGGCTTGTAACAAGCATTAATATACATTGAAACAACCTCGGCTTCTTCACCCGGGATTTATAGTAGCTTTTGAATGCTTCGAATGATATAATAATAAATAAATAAATAATACTTTGAGCTAATCATCCATGATGCTTGCCACAGTAAATGCATTTAATCGAAAGAGCATTAGTCGTCTCTGATAATGATACATATTTAGGAATATTCTATAACTAAGTTAACTTCAATTATCAGCAGTTGGCATGCTATACTCGTAAGTTTTTCTTACCTCGATGTCCAGGAAACGATTTACTCCATGAGGTATAAGCCTAGGCATAATGGCCACCGCTTCGATGCCATATTCATGCCCCAAATCAA